AACAACTTACCAAGAGATGTGGAAAATCTCCATCACATGATGTCTTTAAATCAAATCAAAAGAGGATATCTTTCTAAAAATATGCTTTAGCTCAGCCACAAGATATGGGCTTGATGCAAAGAATCACTGGGTGAAATGATTTGGCCTTTGTTATTCAGGAGCTCACACCAGACAATCATAATAGCTTCTAGAGTAAAAATCTATGAATCCATGAATAATGTTTAGACAATTTCCTATTCAAATTGTTGAAGGAAAGTATATATATATATATAAGAAAGAACAGAGACAATGAGTAGGCAATTTCTGAAGGGTAATTTAGCCCATTGAAAAAGTTGTTCTAGCACTTTAAAATGTGGGATATCATTAGTGAGAGTGCCCCAAATGGTACTGGGAGAATATAAACCAATTCACTCTTTATCAGACCCAAAAGAAATAATCAGCAATTTACTATTTTAATTCTGCATGATATTTTGTCTCCTTTGAGTTCTTCAATCAGCCAACTAACATAACGAGAATGTACTGAAGATGTTCATGAAAAACAAAATCAGATTCAGTTTTATGTTCATGAGAGCTGGGTGAATAATTTACAAATATTTCAATTGAAAAGTGTTGCGAAATTTATTTAATGAAATATTTAGTTACTATTTTACTACCCTCATTGTTCACCCTCACTTTTTCTGAATGGTTTTCATTTTACATTTGAAAAGAGTTATTTTGGACAAATTCAGGCCTGTGGATTCTTCGGTTTCTTGTACAAACTATATTGCCTTCCATACATTTTTAGAATGTAAAACTAAGAATTTTGGACTCAGATGATTCATACAGTTATCTTGCATTCAAATTTAACTATTAAAGGGAGGATCCCCAATGAAATTACAGATTTTTGTATACATCTACCCTTTCTGTCCTAACAGCAGCAGCTGGGATAGGACTAAGAATCATAATTAATTAACCATCTGGGAGGGAGGGAGCTAAAGCATGTATATCCAAACAGTGGGAAAAACGCTAGGGATCATCCACCTGTACACAAGAAGACAGTCTCTGCCCCAGTCTACGTGTAAGCTTTCAATTTCTTATGTATTAGCACTCAGTTTTATGCTCCTATAAATAAATGTTGTGAGTCATTAAAGCAATGCAGGAACTCTAGCACTGGTGAGTGTACATAATGAACACAGAGCAAATTTACTACCCACACCAGTACTCAAAGACTTGAGTGTACTGCATGGACTAATCTGAAACCATTTGAAGATTATTTTTATCTATTCTGCATTCACTTCAGGTTAACTCTCCCTTTGTGTGGCGTAGAAAGCAGTCCAAGTCACAGATAGTGGAATCAAAATGGCAGAACTGCTCTAAGAAGTTTGGGGCCAATTCCACCCCAGCTTTGCTGTTGTGGTCAATCTCATTTCTGCTGCTCGTATCTCCACAGCTGGGGTTTCTGGCATCATACCAATATACAGCTCCTATGCTGGCCCATCTGCAGGCCGTGGTGTAGGAGATAGGGAAGGAACTGTGGCTGCGCTGCATGTTTCAGCAACCCTTAGGTGAGTATACAGTTCTTTTTGACCATAGGGTAGAACTCCCTAGGCTGCTTCAACCTAAGCTAGGACTAGCAGAGACTGGCCACAAGATTCAGGGAGCTGTAGACCTTACCTAGTAGATATCACATATTCCCCTTTGATTTTTACCCTTTATACCTTAGAGTAAAATTTTCAAAAGCACCTAAGTTACTTCAGAGGTTAAATCCAATTTTCAAAAGTAACATAGGCACTTAGGAGTCTAAGACTAATTGAAAGTTTCAATTTTACTATTTACCAACATGGTAAAACTTTTAATTGTTTGAAGAAGAATATTATATTGTTATATCTATAGGGACTATATAACAATATAGCCAATTTTGGTCTAAGAAGGTATGTGGATCTAAAATTGTAATGTACTTTCTAGTAATATGATGGTGTTTTTTGTTTTGTTTTTTTTTAGATACACTGGGTTCAGTACCATAACTCACTCCCTATGTTGGCCAGGAATATAGTTGATATAAGAAAACGAGAGTTTCTTTGCAATCGGTTGAAAAAATTCCCATTCTCATTGGCCACTAGATGTCTCATTTCTTCCACCCAAGTGCATATTATTGCATTTATATGACAGAAAGAGAAACCGTGCTCTTCAAAAAGTCATTGTGGTTATAGAACTCTTTTTCTGGTAGTGCAAAATCGCTCTAGCACATGGAAAACATCACTCTCGCCAACTGTTGTAATTTTTTTTTTCAAGTCCTGTGGTTTTATAACAGTACTATCGTCTCCTCTTGATCTTGTAAGAAGCTCCTCATAGCTCTGGATTTCTGACTGACCTATAAATGATGATGCATTTCTGGCCACAGTCACCAGATAATATAACTGGGAGCCTGTATCACAGGCACTAGGCTGCAGGCCTGGCTGCCACCAGCAAAGGCCACTGCTCAATCTATTGTGGAATCTCTTCTCCCCTGTTTGCACGGCCTGTGCAGAGCATCATGGGAGCAGCAGCCCTTGGGGCAGATGAGGCAGTCGGAAGCTGTTACAAAAGGGAGCAGAGGCAGCTCCCGCTTGCCCCTTCTTACATTCACTTAGTGTTGTGCTGATTAGGAGAAGAGCTATGGGAAGCGGGGGGCGAAGGGAGTTGGGAGAAGAGGGAAAGAAATGATTCCAGGAGCATGTCCACCCACCTGCTCCAGCCTGCAGGAGTCCATTATTTCCCCACTGCTGCTGAGCTACTGTATGGAGGGGAGATGGTCAAGAGCAGTAGGGTGTAAGGGGTGAGGTTGACTGGGCTGGGGCTGCTCTAATATCCAGAGAAATGGAAGGAGCAGAGTTGCAAACTAAACCTACAGTGGGAGCTGGACAGGTGCAATCACAAGTAGAAGGAGAGAGTGTGAGGCAGGAGGCATGAGGCTTTGAGGGGGAGCTGAAGGCAGTACCAGCGATCAGGGGAAGATTATGAAGTGTCTCATCTATCAGCCAGAAAAAAAGGAACGAAGTCCTCCAATTGTTCATTTTAGGTCGAATTTCCGGATATACATACACAGAAATGGGGTGATACTTCCTCTGTCTTACAAATCAGAAAACAGTCCAAAACATGAGCCATAAAAAATAATCTCGTGATTTTTAAGCCAATCTTGCCACAGGATTGGCAATACTGAAACGCTAGCCTGCTCTTAACATATAAATCTTGATGTAACTTCTGTCTGCACCTGGGGACTTTAGAAAGTAGACAGTGTCCCTTTAACACTGAATTATTCAGATTATGCTGAAAATATGCCTCTGACTAAGAGAATGGATGCCGGAGTTCTTACCAGATAAAACTGCCATTGAAGACAGTGGGAATTTTGCCTAGATAAGTTCTGCATGATTGGGCCATATACAGTATGTTCTGTGAAAACCTAGTAAGTGAACACAGGACAAAGAAGGGGTTGCTCTTTTTATGGCACTTTCTCAGATAGTGAAAAATAAAAGTTGAATATATGCCGTGAAAAGACTAAAAACTTGCTGCACAGCATTGTGTCCTGAACTGTTAGTACAAGATGGCCTAGAACTTTGGAGATGGGATTCAGATTAAGACCCAAACTTCTTCAAAGCAGATGGTATTTGCTGTTCTGGTTCAAATCCAATATCCAATCTGATCAGATCTCTGATGGTTGGGCCACAGTCTATGAAGTTTAGATTCAGATCAGAATTTTTCAGAATCTGGGAGCACTTGAATCTGATGTTCTAATTTGGGCTTATCACTACTATTATTGTTTATTTAGTGCAGTGTTTTACTGTCAGAGTTAAATATGGTTCATTTGAATTCTTCTTTGTCTCCTCAAGCAGACTTTGTCTTGAATCATCTCTTCTTTCAAAAAAAGCCAGAATTGCCCCCCACGTAGTCCTGACTTGGGGAGGTGCAAACAGGGCCAGCTCCAGCTTTTTTGCCGCCCTAAGCGGCAAAGGAAAAAAAAAAAAAGACAAAGCCGCGATCGGTGGCACTTTGGCGGCAGCTCTACCACGCCGCTTCATTCTTTGGCAGCAATTTGGTGGCCGGTCCTTCCCTCCGAGAGGGATTGAGGGACCTGCCGCCGAATTGCTGCCGAAGAGCCAGACATGCCGCCCCTTTCCATTGGCCGCCCCAAGCACTTGCTTTCTGCGCTGGTGCCTGGAGCCGGCCCTGGGTGCAAAGTATTATTCCACTTCCACTTCCTGGAATAAGCCACAGGAATCATGGTGGGTCCATGGGAGGCCAAAACCATATGGGGTGCCTCTGCATTTCATCTTGCCCTGGTAGCTTCCTGGCAGCATAGGAGCTGTGCTACTAAGGGCTTCCCAGGCGGTGGTGAGCCTTATACCAAGAATATATAACACAACCCCAAACTGTACTATCCTTTCTTCAGAATCTCCTGGCATCTGAAAGAGGGATAATGTTTGTCGTCCTTCTGGCCATCCGACTCTCCAACCACTCCTCCTGTCTCACCTCAGACCTATGAAGCATTCATAGACTCATAGACTATCAGGGTTGGAAGGGACCTCAGGAGGTCATCTAGTCCAACCCCCTGCTCAAAGCAGGACCAATCCCCAATTGGGGACCAATTGTCCAGGGGCTTTGGAGGAGAGGACAGGATGGTGCCATGGCTGTTCCTCTGTGCCTTCACATGCACAGAGCCAACTTGTGGACCTTGGGGAGAGGTGCCTCTGGACTGAGTTTCTACCCAAAGTAGCACATTCTCTACTGCACATAATAGCAAGGGACTCAGGTTAAATACGCTATGCCCCATTTTAATCAAAAATTTGAGATCACACATCAAATCATTTTCAAGTCGTAAAGAGGGATAAACCAGATAACAGCTAGATATTTGAGATGGAACCTTTTTTTAGTTGATTTTCATTGATGACTGAATGAAATGTATTAACATGGAAAATAATGGGGAGGGAGAAGGAAGATACAATTCACAGTTGTCAAGTGTTTGTAAAATGTACATGAATATTTACCTTTTGAGGAAGAGTTATAATTCTCTTGTTCTTCAATGAATTAAATGCACGGAATGATGGAAACAAAAGAAAGAAATCAGCAAATTTAAAGTTAGACAAAGAAATGTATTGCATTTGACAATGGCACATACAATAGGCTGTATCAGAGCATACATAAAAGTAATGTGGAAAACCAGGATGATAAACCATGACAAATTATGAATGCAGAATATTTATTTAAAACTATGGGTAACAATGAAGTTACTGATGGTCAGATTGTGAAGTCCTTGTTTCTTCTGCTGAGTGCAGTAGTGCCAATCCCAAGTGTCCAAAAAATATGAGTCAGGCCCCCAAAAATGGAGACACGTTTTAAAATAATAAATTTTGGATTCTGTTTATTTGTCTTCTGATTTCTGAGCTTCAAAGGTGAACTCACTTCATATTTTCTCCACAATGAGCGCTAGAAACTTACTTGTTGAATTGAAAGCTGCAATTCTCAATAAATCACTGGACACTAGAAAACAGGGCTTTAAGGAAAACACCAAATATCATGAAACTTGTGATAAAATTGTGGGAGTTGGCAACACTGATTTTAGTCAAAGGGTCTACTCATGTGAGTGAGTGTCCCTCAGCATGAGTAAAGGTTCCACAATCTGGCACCGAATATGCAATGCCATCTAACAATTTTAAATGAAACTAGGGACATGAAGACAAAACAAAAACAATGCTAAATGCCGGGAATTGAAAACTGAAATAGTATCCTCTTTTATTAGCCTCTTGTTAGAAAGCTCATACTCTGCTCTTAGTTACTCTGAATTTATACCAGTGTACTTCAGAGCAGAACTTAATTGAGAGGGTCCAATCTTGCAGCCCTTACTCAAGCAAAACGCCCATTGGCTGCAATGGCATTGCAGAAACCAGTATTCTGTATTCTCTGAGAACTATAGTTGCAACTCAATTTTATTATTTAACAATATTGCGATTCTTTGATATGAAATTCTATGATTGTTTGTCCACAGGTAACAATGAAAATAACTTGTCAGTATACATTCTTTCTCCATGCAATGGAGATCTTTATAAGTCTATTTTATCATTTTTTTTTCAATCTAGTTTATATAAATTGTACCCATATCATATTAACACCGACATTAAACTCTTTTCAAATAAGAGACCCTTTGGTTAGATGGAGTTATTTAAGAGTTAACTTGAAAATATATACAATACAATTAATTTCTGATTATTGCATACCACCATCTGTCAGAAAATTCATTTGTTTTTCTTTAAGTACATTCCTCTGTTTTACTTCAGACATGGAAAATAGTTTTCTCTCATGCAGTATAAAAAAGAACTATTTTGATTTTAAAGGAAGATATCAAGAGACAATTTTTGTACCCACTTTCTGGATAAAAACCTGCTTTCCGACCTGAATCTAAATTTCAAGCCAACTGGTTTAGATTTCTGTTAGTACCAGGGTCATTTCTTGCAATATTTATTCATGCACTGTTCTCACATTCTCCGGTGGGAAATTTTTCTAAGTGCTACTGGGTCAGGCACAAAGTTATTTATGGAAGTGTAAACTGGTACAACTCAACAGGTCAGTAATGTAAAAACAACGAAGAAACAAAAAAAAAACCCATTAAATCTAATATCCAATATCACACACTGTATCCTTATAAGAACTATGCAATGTGAAACCATGTTAACCAAATGAAAAATAAATCATTTTGTCAAGAGTCAAATGAGAGTGAGGACAGGGACAGCGATCTGGTTTGTCTAAAAGGATTCTTGAAAAGTAGTTTACATAATAAATACAATCATCCATGTGTCTCATTGGTTCAGAAATTTTGATAAGCTCTAATACACCTTTTCTTAACCACATGCCTCTCAGTTATTCATTTGTCAGAATACAACCTACTTCAGCTAAAGACGGCCTTAGAAAAAAACTGCTGTGGAACACCAACCTGTATGAATTTCCTTGAACAATAAGGGTGAATAGTTACCAAATAACGATGTATCGGCTCAACCTGAAATCCTTACTCAGGTCAAACTCCCATTAAGTCAGTTCTTGTTATCAATAGAGAAAGGACTGAGTAAAGACTACAGACAGACTCTAACAACAAAATCTATGCAACTGTATAAAAAGTTGTGATACAACAGTAGAGAAATTCATAGTTAACACAGAAACTCCACTCTTTACTTGCCACTTAAATATTGTGTACTGTAGTAACAAAGAGTGATTCAAGCGTTTTACAATCGCTCAGCACAATGTGACAAGTTGAGCACACGCACTTTTCTTTGCCAGGGCTTAGAATTTCATTAATTTAACCATTGAGTCAAAAAATCGCCATGCTATTTTTATATACTTTTTTAATATTGCCAATTAAAACAAGGAAAGAAAAATGATATATTTCAAAATACTACAAGTCTGGGTAATGACCACTGCATGGTAGCTTATTTGCAAATACTTACAGATGTTTAGAAATGTGAATTATGTAAAAACACCCGTAGAGAGTAGTTTTCACTTGCAGACCTCTCAGGCCCTGATCCTGCAATGAGACCCACCTGATCACGGGAGTCTGGAAATTTTTGCCATGATACTGCTGGCATAGTTGCATATCAAGGTCCATATTTGCATTTCAATGCACAGATACAAACACTTGACTCAAATGTTATCATGACTTTCACTCAAATTTCTGTTGCTTGAGAGAAGTCCATAGCCCTGAGTCCAAGTGCTAAAATTTTTACATACTGCAATGGGTTGAAAAATACTATTGCATGTCTTATAGCTCTTCTAAATAAACAACTTGCTAGATAATTATTTTTTTAAACACACGAAGGCATTGATCTCCATTTAGAACTAAAGGCCCCCAAAAGTTCATTTTTTAAAAAATTATGCCATTTTGGAATTTTAGGAATAAAAAGATATCTTACACTGGAATTTTCCCCTTACCTGTAAAATTGTGTTCTGTGAACTCCTCTGTACCTGACCACAGGTATCACCCTGCCTCTATGATGCAATGGGATTGTCACCATCCTTTACTCTGAGGTTTCTTCTATAGGATTTTCTATGTAGTATTTCTACAATTATGGGCATTTCTAAACTGGCTCAAAAGTTGGCTTTCCATCAGCTTCAAATTGAAACTGTTTCCAGGAGTGTTAACTTATCAGTCATTGTCTGATACAGGCAATAAATCAGAACTACTTTTTTTTCCAGTCCTAACTTAATAATGACCAAAATTGGATACTGAGATACTGTGTAAATCCTGTAAAAGAGGTATTAGTATGGATATCATAATTTACTACAGAATAAACAGCTCCACAATAACATTATTTGTCAAGACAAAAAATAAAACCGCCACCCACCTCTCATTCCAAAATCCATTCCCCTCTCTGACAGCAAGAGCTTTACACAATACTAAAATTGTTTTACTGAAAGCTGGTATGTCTTCTGACTATGCAAAATCATGATGAATATTATCACTTACAGTTGATATATATTGCTATAACCTTTCTACAATGATTAATATAGTCCACAAAATGGATTTTTTTGTAAAACCATTTGTTTTCACCCCTCTTAGTTCAGGAGAATTAACACGACCTTCCATAAACTCATAACATCATAGCATACAGTATTCTCTTCAAATGTAGGATGTAGTGTTTCCCAACACAACCTGGCTTTATTTACAACTGAAGGAAATACAAAGAATATTGAACCCAGAAGTGCAGCTCCCCCTAACATTAACAGATTGCATTGGATCCTGCCATCATCTACATTCATGTACCCCTGCTGACTGTGAACTGAAGTCATTATGGACCTATCCAATCCCAATTAAAGTTAATAGGAAATCTTCCACTGATTTCAATATGTTTTGGATTACACCCTACATTAGGTCCAAATTGTACTCTTAGTTACTCCATTTTATACTGAAATTGGCTTGATGTGGATTGGACAGCTGTACCAGATGGCAGAATTTGATCCAATTAATCAAAGCAAGTATTTGGTTTTATAGCCTACATTTCATCGAGTTGTATGTCAGAGAAATGTATATGTAATCATGTCTGTATTTAACCCAACAACATCTAAACTAACATTTTTCATGCGTGTTTGCAAAGTAGTACCACTATCAACCACAATCGTAAGTTAAATAGAGGGAAAAAATGGGAAAAGATATCTTCAATAAAATGGCAACCCAATCACACAACAAAAAGAAAACCAGTATGTAAAGGAGGAGGTCTTCTCTTCAACCTCCAGCCACATTGTCAGTTCACTGACATGAACGATATAACATACAATCCTAGAGTAATAGCAAGAAAAATGGATGTGCTAACCTTTGCATACTTATGATGAGAGAGGATAAATCACCAGTGTAAATAAGTAGTCACAGCTTGAAATATCAATACTCCACTTCATATGTACTTGTAATATCATTAATCCTCTGAACATATGCTAATTTTAGCTTCAGTTTTGATTGTTTAACTTTTTCTTGTTAGCTATGTAACTGCCAGCTCCCTCCTTTCAGTCTCACAGCTCATACAAAGTTCTGCATACATTTAAAATTTCTGTCAACATAATATAAACTGGAATGTTATTTCTTACACATTATCTAGCGATAATGATAATAAGTGAATATCCACTAGAGAAAAATACTTAGTCAAAATAAAAGTGATAGATCAGGTATATTCTTTTCATGTATTGTGTCAAATGCAGGAATCACATAAGAATTATGATGCACAGAATGTATGAAATCATATCATACTTTCATTCTTACAAAGCTCCCAACTTAGAGATACACTGGGCAACATAAAAATTTAAGCTGCAGAAGTAGTTTGCCACCAGTTTAAAACCAAGAGAGTCCTTAACTCTTACAGAGATATAATTAGAAGAACTGAATATAAAATTCAGAGTTAGTCGAATCCACCAGTCAAACTCAGTAACGTATACTGAATATTCACAATAAATAAATATAATGAACAGGAAAACATTTTCATGTGTCAGTGAGCATGTACTATAATGATGGCTCACACCCATAAAGCTCATGTAACCAGTCAATTAATTCATTATCATTCAAAGTATATGGTATACCTAGCTTGGTAAAGAAGTCAAAGCGAACTACACCATCTGCTTTGGAAGGTGTCTGACAATATTTCAGGAAACACAGGAAGTACAAACATTAGAAGTTCTTACATGCATTAGTTTCTGCTTAGTAGAAAGATCTGCAGTATAATTTGAGTTTTGAGTTGTCAGATATAGTCAATGCACTGAATAATAGAGAACTGAATTTACACGTATTTTCCAAGGTGAAATTAAACCATATTTTAAATCTGTTTTGTTTTAATATAGTAACCAACACTTGAGCTGCAGTATGTTGATGGGAAAGGAAACACTTATGTTAACACTTGTTTGATATGTTTGGATACAGCACCTCTCTCAGCAACCTAGCTCAACTTTGGACTGTTCAATAAGGAAAAATTCTCTTTGCTTGACCACCTGTTTCCTTAAATATGCACCAGTTCATGACCCCATGCTTTCACATTTTTAAGCTAAGTGTTTTCACTCTGTTCAGTAGGCCTTTGTCTGACTCAGGGAACAAAAAACAGATTGACATTATCTGACTTTCATCAGTTTCTATCATCAAAGTACAACAGTTAATCTCATCCAACAAATCCAAGTTAACAGAACATGAGCAAAGTGGTATTAGAAGTAACATCACTGAGCTCTGTGACCTGAACACTAACTAAATCTGTGGTCATGGGTAGGTATGTACTAAGATAATGGAATGTTTGCAATAGAAATTTTAAGGTATACATCAAAAACCAAACCAAGCCAGGAGACTATAGAATAATCAACCAATCAAATTCTACAATACTTTCCAATCTACCATTATTCTTTCATTCAAATATATTCCTTTGTGGGTAGAAATAAATAAAGCACTGAACATTTTATTATGAAAGACAAAGTAAAATAAGGTAAGGAAGGAAATCCAAGATTCTGAATTATGATAAACTCATTATTTGATACCTTGCTCTACACTGCTGCTTCTTACTGGAACTTGCGGAAGCTGTCTTCCCCTACGACTGCTGAATGATGTGTCTGCAGGAGGTGACTGAGTTGGACTTCCTTGTTGGTGTATTCTGCAGATGGAATGAAGATAAAATAAAATAATCCAAATAAAATCTGAATCAATATATTTTGAGTGGTAAAGTTAATGCCTATATTAAAATGCATATATGGAAGATGCAGAAATGTTATGTATGCCATATTGTCCTACTCATACAGTCCTCAATGCCTGGAGAGTTAACAGAGCTTCATCTTTAGTTTCTCAATGTTTCTTCAATGTTTCTAGACAGGAACAGCAAACCGCAGACAGGAGTCTAAGGGCCTGGTTCACCATTGTCTCCCACCTTGTACAGTCATTTACACCAATGCAAAGGGGTGTAAAATATTACCATTCTAATTTGGTAACATTTTATACCCAGCAAAGAGTCCTGTGGCACCTTATAGTCTAACAGACGTATTGAAGCATGAGCTTTCGTGGCTGAATACCCACTTCGTCAGATGCATGTCATGACGTCTGTTAGTCTATAAGGTGCCCCAGGACTCTTTGCTGCTTTTACAGATCCAGACTAACACGGCTACCCCTCTGATATTTTATACCCAGTTTGCATTAGTGTCAAACTTAACATGGTGCAGGGCAACAGAGAATTAAGTTGCAAGTATCTAATATTATAGAGGTAAAGTGGCTTTTCTGAACATTTCTTTTGAAGAAGTGTAGATCTTTATTGGCACTGTTTCTGTTAATTTTTGTAGTGTGTGTGTTTGATAATAGGTGCAACTTCTTAGAGCAGTTCCACAGAATTTTAATACTCTTACCGAAGTAGATATTCTCAATTCATTTGCTTTGACTGTGTGGATAGATTAACTTAACTAGCATAATTTCTAAATAGGTTGGCTTCTTTTAGACACACTGAGCTTAACACACAAGATATCTATGAAGTTCAAGTAAATGTACATATAAAATTCCTAAGGCCATTGCTGGTAACCTGGATTACTATAGCTAAAATACATAGATGAGAAAAAGCTTGATTACCGACAGGGCTTAATTGTTAAACTTCATTGCCAGGTACAGTATTATATTTTCTAAATATGTTACATTTATCTAATATATTGAAGTTACACATATATAATTTCTCAATTTTTTCTATTATCTGAAAAACATTAATACAAGTTAAACAAATTACAGATGGTGAGTATTAGCAATTAGCATTTCATAGGCCAAATTACTTTCTCTTAACCTGCTGCTGTAAAGCAAGAGTTAATTGTGTGGAAATTGTGTGTTATTTACAACACATTTTAAAAACAAAATATTTTGCAAATTTTCATATGAGTACATAAACAAAACAATGGAAGGACAAAACACAGTCAAATTTTAACTCTCATGTTCCATAACTGTATAATTCAACAGTCAAAAGCACCATCTGGACAGTGAAGATAGACGGAGTAGAGGATATGGGAGAAGTGTAAGTACCATGGAGAAAGGATTATAGCAGCGTGCTAGAAAGAGTGAATGCACCGTATATACTTGGGAAAGTACAACACCACAGTGACATCTGGGAGGTAGGACATGAATGCTGTGCTGTACATTTAATAGGAACCTTGTCAGAAGTGGAGAAGGTGGCGCCGACCCTCCTGGAACTAGATGATGTACAGAGCATAATGGTCTGATACTAGAATGCTCACTCGACCTTGAGCGAGTGTGATGTTTTCCCCTAATGACTGGCTGCTCAGTTGTTCTTGGGGTTGGAAGTCCCCTTCTAGAAAGACATGGTAGCAGAACCCTAAAACATTAGGGCCAAAAAGAAATTGTTCAGTCATTAGCTCCACATAAGCTTCCCCATGCCTCCCTCCACCAGTGAAAGCAACCGAAAGCCTGCTTAATAAGACACATGCTCACATTTTCAGACTCTGAAAAATGATTAATTCAACCTACAATTCTGTTTTCAAAATGATAAACAGAAAAACCTTCACTGCAGATACCTATGCCATGTAAACGTGTAGTTCATAAATTGCATTGAATTTACCAGCTGGTTGGCAAAAAATATTAGCTTCATCTTCAGTTACTTTAACCATAGCAAATGAAGATTAATGCACATCTGGAAAATACTCTGATGAAGTACCACCATTACAGAAAAAAAAATCAAAGCCTACTTTTAACCACAGTACACGTGTTTTCAAAATGCACATTTTTATTGGTGTTAAAATTTTACCTGAATTCCCATGAAGGTCCCAGTTCAGTAAGGTACCTAAGCACATGTATAATCTCACTAGCCTCTTGGGGACAACTCATGCTTAAAATTAGATATGTGCTGAAGTATTTTGCTGAACTGGGTTCTAAATTAGAGATACAATTCTTCAGGACTGATAATGAAAACTGTAGTACAATTGTTTAATGGCCTCAGTATAACAATGTTAAATATAATATAGCAATGTTACATATAATCACCTGAACTATGAGTAAGTAAGCAAATAAAATTAACTTTTAAATTAACAAATTGTGCCTTTTTAATTATTTTCTGCTTTTCACAACTGTGTGATATTCCATAAAACGCATTGTTGTTTAGGACACTTTTGAATTGAGCCGTCTCACTACTTCTGTTTACAATATTTTATTTGCTAATTAATTTATTTTTTTCAGATTTCTAAACTACAGCTACTGGCACCCATTCATAAGTTAAAAATCCCAACATAAACAAAGGACTGACCATACACCTGCCCACTTCTAATACACACGTACCTGTTTCCCTTTTATTTCTGGTGGAATCCTATATACTAATAATCTTTTTAGGTCTAGATTTTTTTGCTATTATTTATGTAGTGCCAAAATGTACTATGCTATGCTACTTATAGTTTGGCTTTGGGGCCACCTCTAGAGAAACAATATATTTCATGGAAGCCCAGTTACAACTCCAACTACAGTTAAACTTGAGTTACACTTAATGCAGATATTCTGCTTCTTTATGTAGGAAAAATAAAGTATATCCTCCCCAAAATTATATCACTTGCTCTCGGGTATAGAATGAATTTTCTGAGAATTTATGAGGTAAACTTTAATTAAAAATCATCCTTTAAGTAACTGAGTACCCACTGTAAAGATGGCCACGGCCTCCATTCACTTGTTCATCTTCACCTCTATAAATCATAAAGGGCTACCATTTTTCCTGAGGGCAGCTTGGCTTTATTTTCATTGGGAACAATGGGGGACAATGTCCATTTTGTTAACAGAGGGTAGCCAGTGGCCTCAGTCCCATTCGGTATCAATTCAATCAATTCAATCTAATATGGGATCAAACACACTAAAATGTGTGTCATAATCAAAAAGACATGGTGGGTCCTTTTATTGGATCACATGCTGTTGGTGAAAGAAACCAAGATGAAGTGGACAATTAACATTACCGCCGTTAAAGGACAAAACTGGGAGTTAGTGGGTTTCAGGTTGTTGAAATAAGCATTAAGTCCAGTGTCTTTATTGAGTCCATGATTTTTAGTGTCTAGCAAAGTTATGAATTTAAGTTCATAGGCTCACAAAGGTTTTGCAGGTTTCCTTTTAGGCTAAGTGCTGAGAGGTCAAATATGGAGTGATAGCGTTGTGAATGGGTAATATGGTGTTTTTGTCTTTTATCATTTTTCTGTGAGTTCATTCAAGAGCGTAGTGATTGTCTCATTTTACCAACATAGCTGTTACTGGGGTGTACCATGTATTGTGATAGGCATGTGTAGATCTTGAAAGGTGTGTTGTTGGTAAGTATTGATTGTCATTGCTGTGGAGACATGTCTACAGGTTTTGCATCTGTTGTTCTGGAAGGGTTTGGTGCCACTTTGCGTTGGTGGGTTCTGGTCTGTGGGGAGTTTGGTTCTGTTGATGAGCTTGGTATTAACTGGCCTCTTCACCTTGAATAGTTTCTTACAATATGCATTAATTACTTATGTTAAACAATCTGTTCCAACTTGTATTTAGCTGTGATACTCTGAGTATCTTGCACAGAGCTGAAAAGGAGTTCTTTGTAAGCTTGATAGCTTGTCTCTCTCACCAACAGAAGTTGGTCTAATAAAATATATTACCTCACTCACCTTGTTTCTCTAATATCCTGGGATCAACACAGCTACAATAACACATTAATCATAATCAGATGCTTATTTCATGATGGAACAACAGGCCAGAGCTAAGGTTACTTGGGTGACTGAGTTGTGCATTTCTAGCCAGAGACTCCATCTGGTAGAAGCAGATTGCAGGGAGTAAAATGAGGCCGAGCCAGGGCCACTCTTCTCCCCCATCCCCTCCCAGCACCCTGCTGGACCCAAAACTGAGCTGGGGAGACCCTGACACTGTGGGGGCACTAGAACCCAGGCAGTACCTTTCCTCCCTCCCACCATGTGGGCTGCAGAGAGGAGACAGATATATGAACATAAGAACAGCTATATTGGGTCAGACCAATGGTCCATCTAGCTCAGTATCCTATCTTCTGACAATAGCCAATGCCAGGTGCCCCAGAGGGAATGAACAGAACAGGTAATCATCAAGTAATCCATTCCCTGTCGCCCATTCCCAGCTTATGGCAAATAGAGGCTAGGGACACCATCCCTGCCCATCCTGGCTAATAGAGATTGATGGACCTATTATCCATGAATTTATCTAGTTCTTTTTTGAACCCTTCACAACATCCTCTGACAAAGAGTGTATAAAAAAGTGTGTATACAAAGAGTGTATATTGTGCGGTGTATAAAAAAGTACTTCCTTTTGTTTGTTTTAAACCTACCGCCTATTAATTTCATTTGGTAACCCCTAGATCTTGTGTTTTGAGGAGTAAACAACACTCCCTTATTTACTTTCTCCACACCAATAATGGTTTTATAGACCTCAAACATATCCCCCCTTAGTAGTCCCTTTTCCAAGCTGAAAAGTCAGTCTTATTAATCTCTTCTCATATGGAAGCCATTCAATACCTCTAATCATTTTTGTTGCCCTTTTCTGAACCTTTTCCAATTCCAATATATCTTTTTTTGAAATGGGGCGACCACATCCGCACGCAGTATTCAAGATGTGGGTGTACCATGGATTTATATAGAGGGAATATGATATGTTCTGTCTTATTATTTATCTCTTTCTTAATGATTCCCAACATTCTATTCGCTTTTTTGACTGCCGCTGCATACTGAGTGGATGTTTTCAGAGAACTATCCACAGTGACTCCAAGATCTCTTTCTTGAGTGGTAACAGCTAATTTAGACCCCATCATTTTATATGTATAGTTGGGATTAAGTTTTCCAATGTGCATTATGTGCATTTGAATTTATCAACATTGAATTTCATCTGTCATTTTGTTGCCCAGTTACCCAGTTTTGTGAGATCCCTTTGTAACTCTTCACAGTCTGCTTTGGACTTAACTATTTTGAGTAGTTTTGTATCATCTGCAAATTTTGCCACCTCACTGTTTACCCTTTTCCCCAGATCATTTATGAATATGTTAAATAGGACTGGGCCCAGTACAGACCCTTGGGGACACCACTATTTACTTCTCTCCATTCTGAAAACTGACCATTTATTTCTGCCCTTTCTTTCCTATCTTTTAACCAGTTATTGATCCAGGAGAGGACCTTCCATCTTATCTCATAACAGCTTACTTTTCTTAAGAGTCTTTAGTGAGGGACCTTGTCAAAGGCTTTCTGAAAATCTAAGTACACTATATCCACTGGATCACCCATGTCCACATGCTATTGACCCACTCAAAGAATTCTAGTAGATTGGTGAGGCATAATTTCCCTTTACAAAAACCATGCTGACTCTACCCCCAACAAATTGTGTTCTCTACTACAGTTTCAACCAATTTGCCTGGTACCGAAGTTAGGCTCACCACCTGTAATTGCTGGGATCACCTCTGGAGCCTTTTTTAAAAATTGGAGTCACATTACCTATCCTCCAGTCATCTGGCACAGAAGCTGAAATTAGCCATTCTCCAATTACACAGTTCAGTTCCTTCAGAACTCTTGGGTGAATAGCATCTGGTCCTGGTGACTTATTAATGTTTAATTTATTAATTTTTTCCAAAACCTCCTCTAATAACACCTCAGTCCGGCTATACAAACGCCACTGGGGGGGGGGGGAGTAGGGACCTTTGGACCTCTGGACATTCCAGTCAGAATTGTAGAATCTGCTGTGATTTTCTCTGTCCTGTTCTAATTGGCTGTTTGTTCTAACCCTCTCCCTCTCCTCCCTTCTCACCATCCCTTCCCTTCAGCTTCATTCTGCACCTGTCCCTCCTCCTGTTCCCTTTTCTGTCCTCCTTACCCATTCCTTCCCCTTTCTTTACATTTAGCTACTCCCCTACTAAATAACCGTCTCCTCCCAAAATAATAATTGTGGAACTAGTATCCCATTTGCTGCCATCACATTGATCACTCTGCTTGTATGTTACACACCTTCCCCCACCCTGTGTCTGTCTGTCTGTCTTAGACGATATTAGGTCACTGTTTCCTCGTAATCCCGAATTTGTTGCCATCCCTCTGTTTTCGCTCATCTTATACTTAATTTGAAAGCACATGTTTGTACAGTACAATGGGGTCCTACTGGGGCTCCTAGGTGCTTCAATAATATAAATAACAACAATAATATTTATTTATTTTATTATTAAGACTGCCAGATACTTCCCATTATATCTTGGCCTGCTTCTATCACTTCAGCTGAAATCTTCCATGCCAGGTGACTGCCCCGGAGCACCCACGGAGTCGGTGCCTATGCTTTTGTCATTCCCAGGACGTAAAGGAGTACTTAGTGACATGGATGCTTTTTAAAAGGTAAAGAAATATTTTAAAAAGTCCAGAATGGTTTTTATAATCTTCCTGACCTCCCCTAATAACAAACGTCACATTAGTAAAAAAATAGCGCTCAGACACTTTAAGTGGTGATTGTTGTAGCTATAAGGAGACTGACTACTGGATAATTGGAAGGGATTTTAACACAACAGAGGCCATGACACTGCAGTACCAAGCTATAAATCCATTAAATCCTTATCTATAAATCAATGCAAAGCTATTATATATATCACAGATATACCCAGTCTCAAATTTGCTCACAAAAACATAAAAGAAGGCTAACTAAATGTGTAAACATTTTATGTTTCCTGTGTTTTGTGCAAGTGCTATCAAAACTTTAAAGTGGTCAGTAAAGTTTGGATCTCAGAAATAGGTTAATTCCTTATTGGGAGAAAAATAGCTTGTTGTAGACATAGAATATATTATATCTTAATGTAATATAATTACAAGTGTGTTCATTCTTAGAATGCAAAAGCAGAGTGCATTTTATAAGCTTACATTTGTAGCTTTCAGACGTCCAGCAAAATACACCAGATTCACATTCTCTGCAAAACAGTTTCTCTCCATTTGAAATAGTTGCAAATCCCAAGTGATCAAAAATCATGAGTCAGACCCATCCCCCAATCATGATTAACACACAAACCATTAGATGTTTTAAAATCAGGTGTGGTGTGGGGAGGTGTGGGGAGGTTGTTTTGTGTTATGATTTTTGATCCTTTAGAAGGAAGCAGCCCACACTCAATCTGTGTATGATCATTTCAGGTTCAAAATCACCTTTAAATACACACACAGAAATACGGGCCTGCCCAATGGCTAGCGCAGAGAGGGACTTCACTTGCCCTGTCTAATTCCCTGTTGTGATAGCAAAAGCCATTCTATCTCCATCTCATTCCCTTAGCGACATCCTATCTCTCTTTACTCCCATTACACCTCCTTGACTACTCCCATCCCCCTCTCCATGCTCCCTCAGATTCTCTTCTCCCCCATGTGCCTCCTATGGTCATTTGCTCACTCTGCATATTATCCTTCCCTATCCTTCCCTCTTATTTTCCCTCTCTGGCTCCCTTTATTCCCCCTGTAACCTAAGTCTCCATCATTTCTCCCACAGTGTCTTTCCTCCCAGTTTCCTGTCCAGTTTCTTAACCATATAGCATAAGAGATGGCCATCTTCCCTGAAGACAATCTGGCTTCAGTCCTATTGAGAGCCATGGGAAATGATAGCTATCATTACTAATTTATGTACTTACTCTTTGCTTGAATTATTTTTTTTTAAAAGCATGGGGACAAATCTCTCTCTTTCTTACAATACATGAGACATACACATTTTCCCCATTGTAAAAATATATAAATACCCTCTTGTAAAGCACAAACATATCAAGCACAAGGCTACAGCAAAAATGGCTGAAATTTGAAATTCAGCAAGGGCATTCTATTCACTAAGGATTGTATGATGCATCTATCTTCAGGGGAAAACCAAAACTCAACTTATAAGCATATAAGCAAGTTTTGAGTATGCACAGTGGGCATCCATTAAGCTTTTTAGCTCAGCATAATAAAGCACTGAACCTTTTTCAAAACATAGTGTTAAATCCTGGCCCCACTGAAATTAATGCTAAAATGCCTATTGACTTGATTAGGGCCATAGTACCATTTACAATGCATATTATCTGTGCTTGTCCTGGCAAAGGAGCTGCTACTGGGACAGGAAAATAAAAAAAATATAAAATAAAATTAAACAATAAAAAAAGCAAAAAACCTCCTACCTTTAGACTAAGCATAGAAAATCATAGGCATCAAGGGAAAAAAATCAAAGATTCAGTGGAATCTGCAATCTGTCTGCAATTTTTACTACATTATACAAATTATAAGCTTTTTGTTTGAAAACAAAATTAATTTTTTATCTTTTTTTTAATGCAGTATTCACCTCTCATAGTGTAAATAGGGGTTCTGCTGCCCTGTTGACTCTGCCTTACAGAAATCTGTCTCCAGCAAAAGTGGGATCTTACCCCTCTTTCACTATCTCATCAAGATGTGCACTTAAACCTAACTGGAATCAGTAGAATACTACCATTATTAAGCACATATATTGCTTTTCTTTGACCTTTTTTTGTTAAAATGAAGAACCTGGGTGCAAACTCCTATATTATAATAGCATCGAAGGTGAAAGTTAAAATCACAATAAATGCACAGTAAAACTCAATAAAAGCAAAAGTTAAAATTCCAGCAGCAATATTAACATTGCATAATTACAAACTGTAGTATTTTCTATACATGTCTTTTAATATATTTCTATTTACAAGGTGAAATGGATACCTTAGAAAATAAAGGATGTACAGCATGTCCATATTAACATTGCTATTTGAATGTGGCAATTCTTTAATTTTTGTAACTTCAATTGTGCAACTTTTACGTTATATTAAGAGAATCTGTTTTGTAATTATTTATTGTTAGCTTCACATTTTGTACATAGATTTGTCTGTCAAAATTATTTTTAAAATGTAAAAAACCAGGAAGAAATATCAATGGTGAAGTACAATAACAAAGCAATCTTTCACGGCTTCCACATATTATACATCCTGATCATAGAGACCCAGTGCCAAAACTTCCAGGACTTAATGTGTGAAGGATTTGAATAATTAAATTTACAGAAAAGTGACTTTTGATTTTGGCCTATGAGTTTATCCATAAATGAAGAAAGCCAGAAAACGTCTATACTATGACATAACATATATGAGGCCAACATACCAGGCAATGACAATCTTGTAACATAGATGTGAGTTTATCAGTACTTTAAACTAAGGCAGCATAAATTTGTTTTAGTAATTTTATACATTTAGTGTTTTACAGGTGACATTTAAAGTAGCAGCAGGTGCACTGGAATCAATTTGACTAAGAGAGAAAATTGCTGCGTATTGTAGCATCAATCCTACCTTTCTGTTTCAGATGCGGAGTCTTTCCTAGTCTGTTTTTGGCTGTTATATCTTTCCACTTTTCTGGATTGCCTGTGAAATGAGATGTCAAAAAATGAAAAAAAGAAGAAAAGATACAGAAATATGAAGAATAAAGCTTTAATTATGTATTATAATGATAATGAAAAGTAGTTGACAGATGGAAAAATGATAGCTATCTTTATGAATGGGCTGTTGAATTAGTAGTTTAATTCACAAGATCCTTTTCTATTATTGCATTAAATTAGTTCAGGCTTGCTGGTGTGGAGGCAGTGGGCTGCCAAATAGGAGACCTCACTCAATGCTAGAGAAGAGAAAGATAATTAGTTCAGACTCTTGGGGTACGTAGCTAGTTGCATCACTTTTTAACAAGACTTCTCACAGGATTAGAAATGTTAGTCTCTAAGGAGCCACAAGTACTCCTGTTCTTCTTTTTGAGGATTGGAAATGACACCTACAGTAGCTCCTAGGTCCTCCCTTGGCAAGAAAATAGTGCTGCAAGAAAGAGCGGTTGCAGAAAGGACTGGGAAGTAATAGAAGACTCAAATGTAAATCTGAAAAATGTTTTAAAATCCCTTTTTCAAGTAACAAAGAAAACAAAATATTGTAATGAAGATCAAGTATAAATTAAACTGCATATTAGTAAAACCTTGTCTTATTTTACTGTACCAACATCGCTCAAATTTTTGGAAAACTTCTATAACAATTTAATAATACTCTCTCTCCATCAAATATTAACTGGTTGGTATCAGAACATATGTCTAAACCCATTTTTTTAAAATATGTAATTGGGTCATGTAAATTTAGTTAGCTTCCTTATACCTTTTCCATATATATCTTTCACAAAGAGCCAGAAGAGACCTGAGACTGAAATTGTGTTTGTTTCCAAAAGTCAACTCTTGACCTGATTATATAAAACGTGCATTTGCTGGGCCATATTTTAATTAGTCTATCTTAACCTAGCTGAAAGCTAGATCAGCTATTCCTTAAGCAGTAGAGGTGGTCCGATTTTCAGTGACCTTGCTATGGGCATTACACTAGTCACCTTTTCGGGCTGGGAAAGAATTTTCCCATCACTGACCTGGGTAGTTTGTGCTTGGCTTCCTCTCAGCAGCTGAGGGAGCTGGTGAACAGGGTAGGTTGTAGGGTGCTCATGTTGTCACTATCTGATAAGTGTCCAGTGCAGGTACTTGTTCAGTAAGGGGATCCTAATAAACCTGACTTGGAATTAGTATTAGCAAAGAGTGTCCCTTAAAGAAGATGAGGAAGGAGGCTGGGTTTCCTACTATCTGGTAGGGTGAGGATTTCCTCCACACCCTCAACCTTCATATGAGCAGAGCGCCATAGGGTCCCAGCAACAGTGCTTGGAGCAGGTTAAAGTTTTGGGGATGGACACTGGATGAATTACTGCAGGATAGTTTCCCAGATGTGTTACTAAAGTTGCCATCATTAAACCATATTCCTAGTGTTTTACCTTTCTTCCTGTGATGTCCAGGCCAATGAACAGTCATTTCAAGCCTGCAAAATTATGTAAATGACATCAAGTTTGCAGGAAAATTCTCCTGCACACTAGTACTATTCTTTGTGTCTGACCTGGCTATTATAATTTGTGTAAAATAAAAATACTTCTATAGAGAAGAATATGGAGATACCAGGGCAATTTCTGCACTGTTATGGCAATGTCACTGAGGACAAAACGTGGGCCCTGGGGATAGCTCAGCAGTTTGTGCATTGGCCTGCTAAATCCAGGGTTGTGAGTCCAATCCTGGAGAGGGCCACTGAGGGATCTGGGACAAAATCAGTACTTGGTCCTGCTAGTGAAGGCAGGGGGCTGGACTCAATGACCTTTCAGGGTCCCTTCCAGTTCTATGAGATATCTCCATATTTTCATGAAGTTAAGAGGGATTTCTTGTTCTCATTCAAGACATTGCAGTGGGTGTCTGGGAAAATCACCAAATTCAGCTTTCTTGCCATTTATCTGCAACTTATACAAAAAGTTCAGCCTTGAAGGTAGATAAGGTCTGGTGCTACTCTCACAGATACCAGTGTCAATCAGGAATAACTTGCCTGAAGTCAGTGAATTACAAGAGCATAAAACTGTTTAAGTAGAGATTCAGGCCTTCTATGTGCAAGTTATCTCATTGCAGACTATGGCACCATGAAAAGGACTGCCCCAGGAAGGGGGAAATACAGCTGAGCCCAAGATAAAAATTATGGACTTGCAGTTGATAGCCAAATTGAGGACATAAAGAGATCAACAGCTGATCTGTTGCCCCCTTTTATTAGAGTCAAAGGCAGAAATGTGACTGTACAATTTGATATACATGATTGTACACCCCCATCTGTCTGTATCTATTGGTTGTCTCTTGACTTATACATAGATTGTAAGCTGTTTGTGGGCAGGGATCATCTTTTTGCTCTGTGTTTGTACAGCATGTAGCACAATGGGGTGCTGGTCCATGACTAGGGCTCTAAGTGCCACTGTAATACAGAGGAGGAGGAGGAGGAGGAGGAGGAGGCAAGCCCATTAACTGAAGAGTATTTTCCGTGCATGTTTTCACCATCATAATCCAGAGATTGCAAATATATTATCAGGAATCTCTACATGGGCTCTGCATCTGTGGAACGCGCTTTTCACTATTATTTATAATTCTTTGTGTCAGTATTTACAAGTCAGCTCCTGTTAATTTCTATTGCTATACTGCAAGGTCCTCTCAAACACGTGTGTGAGAGACATTTTATAGGTTCAACGCTCTTTGCTTTTGTGGAGTTGTATGCATTTTTAACGCTATTACAGAATGAGGCCAGGAAACATCTGATATCCAGCTCTCTCTACAGGATGTGGCCATCAGCGTTCCCTTAAATACACAAAGGTTAGTCTTCAGGGCATCTTGTAGTGAGTGGGGAGTAAGCCTCTCAGCCCTGGTCAACAGGACCACAACTTCAAAGCACTCTCTATACAGCTATTTTTAGAACATTAGTGCAAGCAGTGTTAACCTGAGTTGGTTGAGCCGAGCTGGGCAACTTGCTCCAAAATCCTGTGTAGACATACCCTGAGAGGTAACCAATGCAGACTGCCATTCAAATGTAGTAAAAAAAAAAAAAGGAGAGATTGATTGTTTGCCCACTGTTGCACAAGGAATGTTGACAAACCCCAAATTCTATGTGACATAGGAAATAAGACTTGGAGAGATGCACAAGGAATTGATGTTGATAAAATCAAGTTCATGCACTAAGCTAGACAGGTAAAATGCAGAAATAAAAGTAAGATGAAAGAACCATTTCAAGATTTGTATTTTAGACCTTGGGGAAAATGAGAAGAAACTCAGTGTCTGAACTGGAAATTGTGTATACAGACATTAGAACTAAATGACATTATAATTAAAATAATTGATCACAGATGATTTTCATGTTCTCCTCAAGCTATTGCAATGTTTGATTAGGATTAAACCATTATATGGTATGTTTCACAGGTAGGAACAGAAAATGGAAACACATCTTAAACAAAATAATTTTGCATGCATGAAGATCTTGTTAGCAGTTTTATTCTAGTAACTAAAATCATGTAGGTTTACACAAAAATACTCTAAAAAATTAGTTAGTTAACAGGTGTAATCCTGTTCCTCCACCATGCTCTGTACTTTAAACTTCTGTTGCATTTATTTTCCTTACATAATTCTTTTACTCTCCTATATGCAGCCAAAGTTAAGCAGCATAAATCAGGAGATCTGTGTTAGTAGTTAAGATTCTTTACAGATGCTGCAGTTGTCTTTGAAGGCCCCAAAGCATGGAAGCATGTGTTTTTCTTTAAGTATCTGAGTAGCCCCACTGAGTTCAATTAGTTCAATGGGGCTACTCATGGGCTAGATGTCTCAGCCCTTAGAGGACTATGCAGCAGAGTAAGACTACCTTCCTCTTACTCCCAACTGGCCCTGCTCAGATTGTGACTATTGGTGCAGTGTGTGTGTGTGTGTGTGTGGTGGTGGGAGTGGGGGGGGAGAAGTGCCCCCCAGAATCAGTGCCTGATTCTCCTCACTACAAACAAGATGGAAGAGAAGGACTGGGAATAGGAAGAGCCCTGGTTCCACCTGTTTATGTGCTGGGCACACAGACAGGAATAAGCTACTGCCTGGGGCAAATAAGTGGGAGCTGTGCACCTGACCTATACTTTAATGCCTGTACCCAATGTCCAGAGTGCACACAGGGGTGTACGGTGGGCACTTACTCCATGTGCAAATTTAGCCACTTAGTGTACTCTATATAAAGAGGTTAAATATGTTAGTATGAAAAAACAAACAGCTATAATGTATATTTAGCTATAAAGAGAATGAAAAAGCATAATAAATAAAATATTTATAACAGAGCATGTTGTCAGGGAAGGAAATTGTTCACTGTTCATAAATTAGAATCAATAACTCATTTACTTGGAACTAAAATTTGACTTAATAAGGATACCTCTGTGTTGCTCCAGGTTTAGCACTTAGGTGGTTTATACTGTCTTGTTTTGGAATGCAAGACTCCAGCGTCCTTGTTCTTCACAAATTTTGGAAACATGGAAGTGAATTGGACAGAATGGACAGAAACAGAGAGATGGTCACATGCAGTGAAGATGGAGACATGCAGTCAAAATATATAAACCAATAGCATTCAGGTACTAAGTACTGACCGAACTGCATTTCTGATGTCCCCTTTATTCACATGTTTAAGGGGGATATTTTAAAAATCTGTCGCACCATGGTAAATACGAAAGTAAAACATCAGTGACTGAAAAATGTAAAATCTATATTGAACTACAGCACTGTAGCTCACCAATTCCCATTTTCCTAATTGAGAATAAATCTAAATTTTGTTAGTTAGAATAATAGATAAATGCTTCTTCCTCAATCCAAATGAAAATTCAAATAGTATTTGAAAAATAATATTTTGGTATTAAGTACTGGCAAGTTATCTTGATTAAAATCAAGTAAATTCTATTTGCATTTAAGGAAACTTTCCTAAATATCCATACTAAAATTACCAGATGTTTTGCTGGTTTGATAAATAACTGCTCAATAATCACATGAAGGCAGCAAACTGACCCAGCAAGAATATTTTAAAAAATCATTCTTCTAATGATGGTCAAAATATGTCTCTTGTAATTTCCATACTATTTTCATTTTATGCTTAAACTCTTTTAACATCTTTACAAATTATCCAGAGCTCACAATTTGACTTAAATATAACGGTTCTGTCGTTTTCACATGCAGGCTGTACAAAAGAGAATTTTTTTCCAGACTCGATGTGTAGGTCTAGGTTTTTTCCAGGTACCAAACTCAGCTATACAGATTTAATAAGATATCTACTAATGCTTTATAGTATAACCTCAGCCTTTCAGCTATAATGTTAAATTAAGATGTTCATCTTTGACCCCTGAATGTGATTGCCAAACTGACTGAAAAATTATGTGGTTATTACTACTTGTCACTATATAATGAAAAGTGCAAGATTCGCTATAAGGCCATATATCTAACTTTAGAAGACACAGTTGAGTAATTTTCATAGTTTTAAATGTTTATTTTTTATTCTTCATTATTTTCAGACCCCTCTAAGAAACTGGAAAAAAATGTCCTATACTCAGTTTGGATCTGATTCTACAAACTCAGACATGAGTAAGTGTGCTCATGCTAGTAGCCACACTGATTACCATGTGTGAACATAACACAGCATCAGCTGGTGTGTGAATGGGTTGGCTCACCGCGCGCACCTCCTTGAGGTGGGGTGTGGCATGGCAGCTCTCTCTCCACTGCTGTGGTGGTCTGCCTCTTTCTGTGACTTGGCCCTCCAGCCAGGTTCCTTCAAAGTCTCTCCCCTTTCAGGATAGTCCATAAACAAAAACCAAGGGGAACTAATGCAAATCAACAGAGTTAGTAACAGAGAGAGCGGGAAGTGCCTCCCTCTCAGGATGTATTAGAATCAGGCCTTCTCTTCTCTCAGAGAGAGACCTTCGGACAATTATTGTCAGGGAAGTTCCTGCCTTCCCCTGGGCCTTCCCTCAGGAGCTGAGGATTGAAGGACTGTTCTCTTCCCTTGTGTCAAATTGTTGATTTTTTTTTCTTCACCTAACATAGGGACATCTGGCTGCGTGGTGGAGTCTCTCCTCCTAAATTTAGCCTCCCCCATAGTAGCATTTCCAGCAGGCTGCACCCACCTAAGAAACTTTGATGGCATGGATGAAACTCCTGTCATTTACCATCTGTCAAGAGCACAGAACAATTCATGCTCACCTAAGGCCTCTGGCCCATACTAAAATAGGGAAGAGAACGCAATACGTTGCATGTTCTCTTGACTGCCCCTTCTATTCCTGGGAAAAATTCCTTCACTAGGTATAAGGACCTGAAAGGTAGAGAAGCCTGTAAATTAACTGGACGTGATCTACCTACTCCATCCTGTTTCCACAGCAAGTTGACTGAAGGAAGCTGGGATGGTCAAGATCTCTCACATTCTTAAACTTACTTTCAGTGTAAAACAGTGAGCTAAGTGCTTTGAAGAAGGGCCTCCACAACAAAAGGAACAATAAGTCCCAGAGATACAAGCTGGGCAGTTATGTAGTGAAGAATTCTTGTTTCTGCTGAACCTTCCCAACAATTCAATGTGAGGTCGGCATAGTGTAATGATTGGCACCTCAAACAGGATTGCCCAGCATTCCATATATACATACTGTGAATGACCCCTTAATTCTTGCCTAGGTGAAGATAAGCTTCCAACTCTTCTTTTCTTGCCTTCCAGGAAGTGGATGATATCACAAAGGCCACATCCCAGGCTAGAAAGTAAAGGTTGACACTGGTCCCTCCTACTTCTATGGAACTTAACTGTATGTTTTCACAAGTGGACGTTAGTTTGGAAGTAAGAGTTTTACAACTTGATTTATTTAAAGTAAAATGTTTTACTTAACTTCTGGGGAAAAACATATCTATATGTTACTGTTTAAAAAAATGGGGGAGGATTTTTTTGCTCATATTTTGCTGAAGAAAATTATAATTTTATAACAAATGCAGATATAGTTAACATGTTTCTGATGTATGCAGTGTAGTCGTAGCCATGTTGGTTCCAGGATATTAGAGACAAGGTGGGTGAGGTAATATCTTTTATTGAACCAATTTCTTTTGGTGAGAGAGACAAGCTTTCGAGACACAGGGAGCTCTTCTTCAGACCAGACCTGAAGAAGAACTCTGTATGATTGAAAAGCTTGTTTCTTTCACTCATAGAAATTGGTCCAATACAAGATATGACCCATCTTGTCTCTCTGTTTCTGATGTTGTTTGTCTGTATTCCCTATCAGATTTCTGAAAGCATCTTAGCTTGTTTTATACAGATGCAACTAATTCCAAATCAGCAATTAATTGAGGTGCCCATTCTAGTATACAGGCAGATTATTCAAATTTTGGAAGTGAGGATTCTGTGTGTCCCAAACCTGAAGTCATCTTAAAGTGTAGCTATAAGTATAACCTATATGAGAAATTCAGGTCCTTATAAGGTCATTATTTTCTTTCAAAAGAAAATGTATTCATTTTAAGGAAACTTTCAAAGGATATTTTTAAAAAATGGGTTTCTGGCCTTTGTTTTTTTGTGGATTTATTTATTTATTTAGCTTTGCTTTGCTTCTTTATAATTTTTAAAGGAGTGTGAAAGCTTTTAAAACTATTTTCTGTATTTCTACCTTAACTATGTCAAGTTTGGTTTTTCCTGCTTTTGGTGAAAGACTTCTAGAAGGTCTCAGGGAGGCTTACTGAGAGCTTTCACACTTTAACTGAAAGGGACAAGACTGTTGAATTTTAACAAAGGCTTGTTTTAGCCAAAATGTTACTTAGCCATTGAAGTTAAATATATAGTGTTAATAAAAGCAAGCAGTCTGAATAAATGTCCCTTCTATTGTCAATTGCTCAACTTTCACTCACTTGGCTCCTCTCATCACTTGTGATATCACCAGTTCTAGTTCTAGTTCTAGTTATAGTTTAACTATAACCATAAAATCTTGAAGCCTAGACAGGACCTGAATTTCTAATGTGAAAAACAAACAAGGGGGAAAAAAACGTTGAGGTCGTCTTTATAACATATCATAAAAAAGCAAAAAAGGAAAACAAACTCATGATTTTTTAACATTTTTGAGTCAATATTTAAAATGAAAAGTAATCTATTTATTCATTTCTCTAAATATACTGTGAAGTAATTTTTCTGCTATGACATTTCAATCATTTCCAGAACAACAAAAATCTTTCTAAAATGCTTGCTGAAATCTTTTATCTGAATGAGTATAAAAAACGCAATGTTGCTAATATCAGAGTTAAATGATCAAAAATAAGAAATTACACACTCATAAGTCATATTTATATTTATACAGAAATAGCTCTTACTGGTCCAGTCCTCTGTATATCTCGAGCACAGAATGCAAATTGGTCCAATTCTGGGATGTACCCAAATGGAGTCTGACATGACAGCTGTCAAATTCAATTTATCTGTGAAGTCAGGGTATGAAAAGCTAGTAAAGTAACTCAGTGTGTCATGCACAGCCTCCCCTCAATCATCAGTTCTTATTTTGACAAGCCTTCACAGAAGCATACCAAAGAAAGGCAAAGGCTAGTACTGAATGGTACTAGCTAATATACAGAATTGCTTGTGAAACAGATTTTTAAGGGCAATAATTAGTACAAAATGTAAGAGAATTCCAATTGTATAAATGTAATTTGGCTTTGGTTTTCTCTTTTACATTATACACAAAATGAGCTGAATAGAAAAGAAAAAGAACTAAAAGGAATACTGGCTTATTTAAAATGTTAGCTCTAACTATTTCACTGTTGATCATTCTAGCAGAAATATACAGTTGCCCTGGGATTGTGGCTCAACTACATAAGCAGAGTATCACCATACTCAGTCCCACTCCTTTGCACCAAAAGTCTCCTGCTTAATGGGCAAGGAAGTGCGGTGTATTTAAAAACTGAATAACTCTTGGGAACACATCAGGAAAGGGTTTCAGTTACAAGAAACTAGTCAAGTACCCCAAGGTTCATCTACCCCTAAGTACTGAATAAACATATTTTATCCCAAATAAGGAAGTTAAACCACTTTAAATTCTTAGGGCCAAATTCAGAGGTGATGAGTAGGCTGTGTAAATTGGACTCCTCACCTACTTGTTGGACATCCACACTCTACTGGATGTGTAAAAGAGCCTAAGCTGCTGTAACTTCTGTCTGTCATGGAGACAGAAGAGAGTGTAAATGAGCAGCATCTGAGTAGCAAAAGGGTATGGCATTAATGCGCGCCTTTTTCTGCACCTCAGCCAGGAAATCACACCAGCTAGACATACAGGAAAAGAAACAAAAATGTTTCTTCTTACTGTTTCTTACAATGTCTATAGAAAGACACTCATCTCAAACTGAGAATTAAACTACAATTTTTTTATGATTTAAAAGCTTTTAACAATTTTCCTCTTATGCAGACAGTTTAATGTAATATACTGATTATAACAAAGATGGAAAAACAGATGACAGGAGTACACTCTATGGTTACAATCCTGAAGTCCTCAGGCATTGTCCCAATGACAACAAGAATAAAGATGATTAAGTAAGGATTGTAGTATTAGGGTGAAATGCTGGCTCCACTGAAGTCAGTGGCAAAACTACCAGTGATGTTAATGGGGTCAGGATTTCTCCCAGGAGCCCTACACAGGATGGGCCTGATCCACCAAAGTCAATGAGAGATTTTTCATGGACTTCAAAGGGCTATTATAATGAGAGGAAAGTGTTGCTCAAAAATGCCCATCGTTTAGAAAGTGTAACCTTTTGTAACCTTTATTTTGAAATACTCCAAATTAATATTAAGTTGCTAAAGATAAGGGTGTAATAAACCCCAACTTAGTTTTCAGGGAGTTTTCAGGCTATAGAAAATTCTGTAATTACAGAAAATTTGTTTAGTAGAGGACCATTGGGCAACACTTTAAATAATACAAGCAGACTTTATTCAAAAGGAAAATGATTAGGTAAGCAAACAGGCATGCAATTACTACTTACACAATACTACAATTATACATATGTTCAAAGATGAAATAGTGTATATCAGTGGGTAATTAGTCCACTGACAACAGCGTGAAGTACAGCTTTATAATCCTGAAATCTAACAGTTAATTGACGTTCCCCTGCAATGTTGCAAGGCTATGTCTTTTTCAATCTATTATAATATTAATTAACATTAAACTACCCGTTACCATAATTATATTTCCACCATTTCCTTATTGGCTCCTTACCTCACACATTATTTAAATTCACTTCTACATGAATATCCTTCCTATACTATCAATATAGATAGCATGTTAATACAACATTCCAAAATTCTCAAAACACTTATTAAAAACCTTGCTCAAACCAGTTATAACCAAAACATCGCAGCAACATAACCCTAGATCATGTCCTTGCTAAATTCAAATTTCCTGTCTTGCTGTCTCCAACTTATCTCCAACTTTCTCACACTAGCAACTCCAATTTTCCATACTCCTCTATACTTAGGCTAACTTAAGCCCTAACTTCTACTTAATTCTTTACCTAAACCTTCCAGTAGGTTACATAAATATGGACTATGTTTACTAATTGTTCTATCTTTGCTGATAATGTCCTTTTGGAAGTATCAAAATACAAAAACAGAGATCACATTGGACCCAGTACTACAGTCAATGAAATGTTTAGGTATGCAGTGACTGCAAGATGGAGTCAGTTTTGGAATAAAAAAAACTTCATGTGATAATTTAAAAACATACTATTGCACACAGAAATGGAAACCAGGTATAACTAAAAGCCAATTAGTGTTCCCACTAAAGTTGGTGGCAATATTTCCAAGGCAAGGCAAAACAGACTATGGCATAAATGTAGGTGCTCTTAAGCAGAAAGTGAATACCAGCACTACAGAAACTGTAATGTTACATGTATACCGTAATCATGAGAGTTAAACCTCATAAGAGCTGCACAAACATTTTTTAAAAATTAAGGATGAGAGGATTTACTATAACATATCAGGGTTTAAAGGGTAGAAAATAAATCTTGCTCTTGCGTTACATTCAAAGTGCTGAATTAATATCTGCTTTGATTTAAAAAGTGGATCTAGTAGAAGAAATGACAACATATGAGAAGAATGTTACTATTACAAATACAATAAGACATCAAAACTGATTTGGATAAGAAAACCAGAGCAAGAAACAAAACAATGGAAGGTGTTTACATTCATCACAACTGGCAAATCAGCATATAAAGTGGATCCAAAGCACTGGCATTTATTGGTCAAAACCTACCTTGTAGGGAAAACCTGTCCCCTGAAGATAACCTTAATTTATAAATTTCATAACCGTGCCAATTATTATATATACCAATTAATATATACCACAGAACCTCTCTCTCTCTGTATCTGTTTTTTTTCCCCTCATAAGCATTTTGCAGAGAAAGAAACACTACTGAGGCTTTTTTTTAAAAAAAAGGATAAAATAGGCTCCCTGACAGATATTAATATATTATAAAGCACCACAGGGAAAAAAAACTACATTTACAGGAATAGGGGGAAAAAAGAATAAAGAGTCCATTAATATGGAAGTTTCTACATCAGATTAGCCATCTTGATTTCAGAAACTATCCCTTGGAATGTTCACACAATCAGAAGACTTGACTGGGGCACATTCCTAGGTGCTTTATAATAATTCGACAAAATGCAGAGATGTACTTTGAGCTGACACTTTACTTTGGTTTTGTCATAGTTAAAGTTTATTAAAGATCTTTTTAAAACTTTGTTATACTTCTCTCAGAGTGCAAGATGCAGTAAGCCACTTTTCAGTTAGGAGGAGTTGGCTAGTACCTGTCATCCTCCGGAGATGCATGCTGGATATGAATCCTGGGACTAGTAGGTCGTCTCCTCTCTAGGGAGGGGGACCATCTACCCCTGTTTGCCCATTCAATAAAACAGGAAAAAAATATTTAGTGAGTGAAAAAATTTAAATAGGTATGGGAATTGAGACTGGAAAAGTACCCCAAAAAGTAATGAAATTGATTGTTTTTAATATAATAATTCTTGTTTCTAATTTTTTTTTAAAATTTGGATACACTATTCTTATGGTTGTTTGTTATGGTATATTGTCTATATAGCAGTACACTATACAAACAATTATGAGTGTACAAGCATGCACAATTTAGAATGATTTAAATAATTTGCATGGCATATACAGTATTTCAAACATCCTCAAATGCTAGAAAATCTAAAAACCTGTTATTTATATAAGAAGTTGGAATTATAAACTAGAAGAACTTTTCAGGTGTTGATTGGCTGTTATTTTCCTCTTTCATTTTTCCAAGGGTTTATTCCCCCATTAACTTCGCACTGAACAAAATTTTTCCATTAAAAAAAGTGGTTTTAAATTACAAAGAGACCCTTAAGGGGATTAAAGCATCATGTTACACTGCTAACTGCAGAATGTGGGGCATAAAGTGATCTGTTTTCCTAGAGCTCATCCTATGTCACTATCTGCTCTACTCATCAGCTTGTAGGGACCCCTATTCAATCTGCAATGGAAGGGCTCTGTGCAGTCCAAAATTTTCTTTGGGGCTGCCAACACACAGAAGCTCTGAAAGTTTTTTGGGTTATGCAGCAATGGAGGATATTACATATTCCAAAAGTGGTAATGCTTCCTTGGTGACAAGCACGTGTTTTTACTCTTTACATTACATGCCCATCAAAGACTATTTTCTAGGAGCAGAGTCTGTGACACCATCCATCCCAGGTTCTTTTGTTGCTGAGCACTGTTACAGAGACAGACAACACATTTTTAAAAGGCAGGATCAGTCACTATTGACTTCTGAGTTTAATTTCTTTATATAGCTGAGACAGGTAGAAGAGATGAGATGATATTCATTAAATTGAAGTTAACTTGTCCGAAAAGGTAAGACACTTGGGAGCAAGAAGCTCTCACAAATCTTGCTAAGTAAAATTAATATTTTAAGAAGTTTAATGTATTAATTATTATTGTTGAGTCTAAGGTTAAATAAATGATATCCTTATTTAATAGTCAAGCTAATAATGTTATATTTATAGTAAATATTGTAAATTTGCATGTTAGTAAAGAAATTAATTAGTATATATTTGTGTGCCTTGACTAGTGAAAATTTATAAAATTTCTTTTATATTTAAAAAATGTGCAGTCCAAGTTTTATTAGTTCATGCCAGTCTCTTTCTATTGATTTTATAAATTAAAGAAAAAAATCTTTAATCAGTGTTGGTAGGTGGGATGGGGAACATTTGTATTTTTAGTAGTTTTTTTCTTTCAAAAGCTCATTTGATTTAGAACAATAGAATAGCTCAGTCACAATGGAAAGATAATATAGTATAAACCTAACACTACTTAGTTTTGAAAATAGAGGCAAGAAATCATTTAAAAATATATATATATATTTACGTTAGCAGAGTAATATTTTACATGAACTATTCACTTTCTGAGGCAACCTTCCAGTCCATATATTAAGAAACAGTGTTTCACTTACGGAACATGCAAATAACAAAAGTTTCAGGGAGATTTAGCATCACTTCACATTTAGGTAGCTCTTTTAAAAGATTCCAAAGGGAATAGGTTGTTAGTAGTTATCTACTTTTTCTCTCCAAAGCAAGGGTTAAAGAAAATGTTAATGCATCAGTGCACTCAGTCAAAGCCCTTAATATGCTGATATCCTCTACAAATATTAAATTGCATTTTTATAGAACATTACTAATTTTGGTCATCATGCATTATGAACTTTGAGAGCATGCTCTCTTTCCGTAAATTTCAATGCCGCTTAACTTTATATACCGGGGTGGCCAAACTGGCTCATGAACCACATGTGGCTCTTTTACAGTTAGAGAGTGGCTCACAGAGCTCCCCAGACCCCCCACATTCTCCACCTACCAGACTGGTTGGGGGAGAGCTTGGGATCTCTGCCTTGCAGCGGGATGGTGCAGCAGGGGCTTCTGCCCAGTGGGGAGGGGAGCCTTGGGACTTTAGCCCCATGCCCCATCAGGTGCCTCTCATGGGGCTGAAGCCCCGAGCCCTGACCCCTGGCAGGTGCGCCTCAGCTCTCGAACTTCTGAGGATTGTCATTTGTGGCTCGGAGGGCCAGTATGTTTGGCCACCCCTGTTATATACTGTACAAAGCATGTGCAACATTACAATTCAGACAAACATGCAACAATGTACTCTTCTACACTGGTTGAAAGAGTGGAAAAAAACAATATAGTGCATACCTAATATTAACAACAGTTATACTGTTATGTAATTAATTCAAATACAAATAGTCACATTCAAAGAACAACTCTAAACAAACATGCAGTATAAACACACTTACTTTCCTAATGCTAGAGGGTGTTTTATTTTATTAATGGTTTTATAAAAACATGAAAATATGGTGATCCTGGAGCAGAATAGAGCCGATTAGGTCAAGAACAAATGATAGCTCCAATTTTATAAATACCTATTCATGGGAATTTCATCAAATATCTATACCCTAGGATTTCATAAGGTTATGGAGACCAGATAAAGGCACCAGAGATTACCATCTCAAAAATCCCAATCAAGTCATGATTTCAGAGCAGCCAATATTATTACTTTTTCTATATGAACATAGAAAAGCCTGGTTGTAAGATATACATACAGAGTGTTCTACTTAATTCTATCACTTTGATTTGTTCCCAAGTTTATTTGCTCAGACCTGCATTAAATAATCACTTAAGACCAAAACCTACAAACATTACTAATGGAACTATGACTGGTATTAAGTCTTTGCAGGACTGGGCTCCTATAGTGTAAATAAAAACTGTCACCAGGTATTACTGCATAACTATCATTGGCCATAACATTACCAATTAATAATCAATAAAATATTACTAACTGACCTACATGAAGATTAGTGTCTTCTCAGTGTAGTACAATGTGTTGGGTGGTGAGGCTCTGAGTCAGGAAAGCACACTCGAGCATGTGCTCTAAGGATGTGCTTAGGTGCTTTCCTAAATTGGGGTCACAGATACCACAGTGTCTGGCAACAGAGAAATCTATAGATAGAAATAAGATGGTCCACTAAAAACCAAACCAAAACCAGAATTCGGAGTGACAGAGTGAAAAAAACAGGGCCAGTAAGCCGATCAACAATGACAAAAGTATACTAAAACAAAGGGCTTGTCTATACAGTGAGATAATGTGGACTATGGGCGTGGGATTTTTAATGCACCCTAATGTGCTTTACATTAATTGGTCCATTAACTTTATATACCGGACTTTATATAAAGTCCAGTAGACTTTGCTGGTATGCACTAAAGGTTCCCTAGTGTGCTCAAACATAGTACTGTTTCAAACAGCACAATGTTAAAGTGCACTAGGGAATCTTTAGTGCACACCAGCAGGGTCTATACAGACCAATAAATGCACAGCATAGAATCACAGAAGTGTAGAACTGGAAGTGACCTCAATAGGTCATCTAATCCAGTCCCCTGCACTCAAGGCAGGACTAAGTAATAGTTAGACCATTCCTGACATGTCGGGCACTTTGGATATCACTCCCCTATTACACCACTGTATAGATGAGGCCTAAGGGGTGGTGACACTGGAGCATTTTAATCTATGTTTCAGGGTGTTATTGTCTGCTATATAAATTCCTACGTGTCTTGCAGGTCTCATAGAAACTTCAATCACTTCAATCACTTCAATCAAAATGAATACTAATAGTCAAAATATTGTATTAACAAATAAGTGCTGAAGTCTTCAGGCGTATTCTACAGCACGCTGTGCCACAGAGAGCTGTGGACAGCATTTTGGCTCTACAGCCAGGCTATTCACATGTTGCAAAAATTTTACCTATGTCTACACTACAAAAGGTTTGCCACTATAGTTATACTAGCAAACCTTCTTAGTGTAGACACAGCTTATACAGGCCAAAAAGTGCTTTTGCCGGAAATGTTTGTATCGGTTTCCTGAGCAAAAGCTCTTTTATGTAGTTATGGTATAACTGCATCTATGGGAGGACTTTTACCGGTACCGAAGTGTTTAAAAAAATCATCACACGTCTAAGTGACAGCACTATACCGGCAGACGTTTCTAGTATAGGCGAGGCCTAATTCACAGAATCCATATTTTTCAGCTAGGCAGGTTCTGCCTTCAGTTACCTACAGTGGAGGAGCAAATGCTGAAGAAACCCTCGGCATTATTATTACTATAATTATTTATTTATAGCTATTTATCTATCATATATTATGTAGTCAAAGTACATTCACTAGCCCAGAGTTTTTAAAGAGGGAGCTAACTTAGCCTTGGGCCATGGCTAGGTAATCTGCTCTATTCAAATCTGCAGTTAGGCTCAATGGCTTGGTTTCATCCACTGATACTCAAACTCATTCCTTTCCCTTCCCTACTCCTACAATTCATTGGCACTGTGTTTTAAACAGTCTTCCTTATTGTTTCCCAGTAGGACCCGTCCCAAATAATTTCAAATTGTGTAGTTCTTGTCTGTCAACTATGAAAAAGTTTGCTCTTATACAATTCAAATTGTTTAAATGAAGTTGCAGTGAATGGCAATGTATATTTCAACATTTTCTGCCACCACTAACACAGCACAGCAATTTATTTAAGCAGCCTTAGGAACAGGGAAGCTTTCTGGGCATGTCCTGTAAAGTCCTGATTGCCATCTGTACTGACCCATTCCCATATAAAGTAAAGAGGAAGGCATGCAGTGACGCCTTTAATGGGAAGACTGGGCAGAAAGCCAGTGCCAGCATTCCACCTGACAGTGTTCAAATGGAGTTATGTTAAGATTAAATTATACAGATGCAGCATCCTGATGCTCATAGAGCAACCAAGTTACAATATATGAAGAGCTTAACTTCACTGTATGAAACGTTGCAAATTTATGTTGAAAAAAAGTTTTCAAAAACAAGAATAATAAAAAACTCTCCTACAGTCCAGTACAATCTCCTGATTGTACAGTAAGGCTAGGCCACTGAACGTTTTAGTCTATATTCTATTGTTAAGGAACTAAAAATGTCTGATGTAGCATTTCAGGTGACAAGTACAATACTGCACAGAGTTTAAAGTTCAATACTATTTCCAATAAAACATTAATGTGCAAACAAAGTGCTTTATTGTCAGTACACTAAACACAGCCCATATCACCTTGTTCAAAATGCAAGTGCGGGCACTTTTAACTTCATATTTCACACTTCATTTACTTTATATTTTCTGGGACAAAAGGGAGCCCAAACACAATTTATAATTCCTGTGAAGGAATCTGGAATACCACCGCAGGAGTTCCTTATTTACACTTCTCCATAAAAGGAGAATGTACTTCAGAAACAGTGACATGATAGTCACAAACCAACCATGGTTCAATACATGGAGTAACTAGTATCTGCTGATTAAAATCTTACAAATAAATTATAGAAAAAGTCCACCAAAGCAAATAAGAAAAAAATTCAACATATGGCTCTGGATTAAGTATAATATAGCTAATGGATTGCTAACCTCTTGGATGCAGAGTGGACAGCTACCTTAAATAATGAGGTCTGAAATCCCTGGAAAATTCTTCCCCCTCAAAAAAAAAACCCCGAAAGAATTGCTTTTGTGTTATTTTAAATTCAACTTTTGCATCTTGCTCTCAAAATTGGACAGATTAAAAGAGCTGTATCTCAGAAACAACTACCCACAACCATCCTATGGGACTTCTAATAAAGCTAGAAACAGAACGACCCCAGAGTGATGTGATATATACTCTAGCTAGGGACCACAGGGAATTCAACTAAACCTAATGTTCAGTGGTATTACAGATTGCTGATAGACCTCAAAGGATCAGCATGGACACTGTTCACTAAGAGGACATCATCAACCAGTGTTGTAATTTCTACTCCATACCTAGGCAGAAGGTGGGCAAGAATCATAGACGATTAGGGTTGGAAGAGACCTCAGGAGGTCATCTATTCGAACCTCCTGCTCAAAGCAGGACCAACCCCAACTATATCATCCCAGCCAGGGCTTTGTCAAGCTTGGCCTTAAAAAATTCTAAGGATGGAGATTCCACCACCTCCCTAAGTAATCCATTCCAGTGCTTCACCACCCACCTAGTGAAATAGTTTGTCTTAATATCCAACCTAGACCTCCTCCACTGCAACTTGAGACCATTGCTTCTTGTTCTGTCATCTGCCACCCCTAGCTCCATCCTCTTTGGAACCCCCCTTCAGGTTGTTGAAGGCTGCTATCAAATCCCCCCTCACTCTTCTCTTCTGCAGACTAAATAAACCCAGTTCCCTCAGCCTCTCCTCGTAAGTCATGTGCCCCAGCCCCCTAAATCATTTCCGTTGCCTTCTGCTGGACTCTCTCCAATTTGTCCACATCCTTTCTGTAGTGGGGGGCCCAAAACTGGATGTAATACTCCAGATGTGTCCTCACCAGTGCCAAATAGAGGGGAATAATCACTTCCCTCAATCTGTTGGCAATGCTCCTTCTAATGCAGCCCAATATGCTGTTAGACTTCTTGGCAACAAGGGCACACTGTTGACTCATATCCAGTTTCTCGTCCACTGTAACCCCCAGGTCATTTTCTGCAGAACTGCTGCCTAGCCAGTCAGTCCCCAGCCTGTAGCAGTGCATGGGATTCTTCTGTCCTAAGTGCAGGACTCTGCACTTGTCCTTGTTGAACCACATAAGATTTCTTTTGTCCCACTCCTCCAATTTGTCTAGGTCACTCTGGACCCTATCCCTACCCTCCAGCATACCTACCTCTTCCCCCAGCTTAGTGTCATCCGCAAACTTGCTGAGGGTGCAATCCATCCCATCATCCAGATCATTAATGAAGATGTTGAAAAAAACTGGCCCTAGGACCAACCTCTGGGGCACTCTGCTTAATACCGGCTGCCAACTAGATATTGAGCCATTGATCACTACCCGTTGAGCCCGACAATCTAGCCAGCTTTCTATCCATCTTATAGTCCATTCATCCAATCCATACTTTTTTAACTTGCTGGCAAGAATACTGTGGGAGACCGTATCAAAAGCTTTCCTAAAGTCAAGATATATCATGTCCACCGCTTTCCCCATATTCACAGAGCCAGTTATCTCATCATAGAAGGCAATCAGGTTGGTCAGGCATGACTTGCCCTGGGTGAATTCACGTTGACTTTTCCTGATTACCTTCCTGCTTCCTCCAAATGCTTCAAAATGGACCTGCTTGAAGACCGGCTCCATGATTTTTCCAGGGACTGAGGTGAGGCTCACCGGTCTGTAGTTCCCTGAACTCTCCTTCTTCCCTTTTTTAAAGATGGGCACTATATTTGCCTTTTTACAATCATCTGGGACTTCCCCCGTTTGCCATGAGTTTTCAAAGATAATGGCCAATGGCTCTGCAATCACATCAGCCAACTCCCTCAGCACCCTCAGATGCATTAGTTACAGACCCATGGACTTGTACATGTCCAGCTTTTCTAAATACTCCTTAACCTGTTCTTTCACCACTGAAGACAGAGGCAAAAAAAGCATTGAGTACTTCAGCTTTTTCCACATCATCTGTCACTAGGCTGCTTCTCCCATTCAGTAAGGGTCCCACATGTTCCATGACCCTCTTCTTGTTGCTAATATACCTGTAAAAACCCTTCTTGTTACTCTTCACATCCCTTGCTAGCTGCAATTCCAATTGTGATTTGACCTTCCTGATTACACCCCTGCATGCTCGAGCAATATTTTTATATTCCTCCGTAGTCATCTGTCCAAGTTTCCACTCCTTGTAAGCTTCCTTTTTGTGTTTAAGCTCATCGAAGATTTGTCTGTTAAGCCAAGCTGGTCACCTGCCATATTTGTTATTCTTTCTGTACATCGGGATGGTTTATTCCTGTGCCCACAATAAAGCTTCTTTAAAATACAGCCATCTCTCCTGGACTCCTTTCCCCCTCATATTAGCCTCCTAGGGGACCCTGCCCATCATGGAAACATGAGGCTTCTACATAGCCCCAAAGTCGGGTTTAATTTTCAGCTAAGATTTTTCCCCCATAACTAGATGTTTTAATGGTTACCAGCTATTGTTCCCTGAATTTTCAAAATGATGTACAGTGTTTTAGTGGCATGATTTTCCTTGAAATTAATACAGTAAACCACAAGTCCTACTTTGAAAATGTAACTATTTTTTGGAATATTTTTGTTGCTAAAAACACACAAAAAATTTACATTAATATCCTAGGCCTTAGTTATGGATTGCTTGTTACTCCTCTCATCACTTAACAACAACAAAAATGGTCAGTGCTGTGATAATTTCAATAACCAATTTTTCTGGACTGATTGGTGAGCAAATTCACATTATTATCCTACATATTACTTGAATATTTACACCATGGGCTAAATCCTACTTCTACTGAATCCAATGGGAGTTTTACTTTTCACGTCAGTGGGGGGGGGGTCAGGATTTCACTTTATAAAAACAAGAATTCTTAGACAAAAATACTGCAAACATTCAAAAATTCCTTGTTAAGACATACTCACATCTAATTACAAAATCTGTCCATAGTATTTGGTTTTCCTGTGACTTTGAACTACACTAGCTTTAAAGGTGAAAGTTCAGAAAGCATCCATTAAATGTTTCTGTTCAACATAACAAGTGCAACTAGATTTCATTTAAATTGCTGAAAATGTTGCTAAATGTATGTAAACTAAATACGGTGTTATATAGTGCAAAAATAATTAAATTGTTTTTCTTTACAATTTAAACAAACAGCAATAGATATGGCAGATTAGATTAACAAAATAATGTAGTTGGTTGGTTGGTTTGTGGAAATTAATGTATATACTGTTATACACATTACAATTTTGATTTGAAAAATAAGAGTTTGATCTCACGATTTGCATCCTAATTCATATAATTTGTAAATTTTATGTCACCATCTCATTTGCAATCTGCAGAATGGGTAAGAAATAAAAGTAATACATTTTAGCAGATGATAATGAAGATTAACAATCAAGTGGTGCTCCTTCACCTCACTTAACACTGCAGTGTTATTATCAGCATACTGAGGACTTTTGTAAACAATAACATCAGCTTGAACTAAAAATAGGGAAAGAAGAAGCCAGAAGCAATTATAAACTGCAACACACAATTTGCATGGCATATATGAGTATAGGGGCAAAAATGTCTACAAATACCAAAGCGGGTATGAATGTACAGACATGTAGAAGACTCATATGGAGAAACAAACAAAATTGACAAAGTTCACCAGCACAATGACAAGAAATTCATAAGTCTTTACTTTATACCTTTCTCGTTCTGGTGAATGCAAACTAGTATCTGGTCTCAAGCAGTTGGTACTAGCACTCCTAGCCCTGTCAAGGGAGGGCTGTAGTTCACTAGTGCCAGTGCATTGCATCCAATGGTAGAAGAGAAAGAAAAAGAAAACAAAGAAAGGAACACAATGTTAGATATTAAATAATAAAATAATGTTCTCTTTACATAAAAATGTGGTATCACAATGATTTAATTAATAAAGATGTAAAAGAGCTGACTAGATGACAATGCAGATATTTGTTTAAAAAATAAAACCAAATGAAAGATTATGTTTGAACTTGTTTGCATAAAAAATCTCAAGTATCTAAGACCATAAAATGAGACTAAACAATATATACTTATGAGAAAGTGGAACGGGAAATACTAAAACAATACATCTAAATATTTATTACTAGTAACAACTGCTATACAGAAGGACAGGATACAGTACATTTCAAGTGAAAGTACTTTAGAGTGAAGCTAATTTACTTTAGAAAACCATATTACATTCTAAACAGGAAGGGGCACTTCTACTCAGTTCTTACCTAACCAATAGTTCATCTGTAAATCTCGGTATTTGTGCATTAAGGCAATCACGAAGAAGCGAAATATCCTGTCTAATCACTGATTTGGTTTTAGCACATGCAGGCAGAGTTGAGCTTTATAAATTAAAATTATTTAAAATAAAAATAAAATTTAATTTCACATGTAATCAAAACCATACATATAAAGAAAGAAATGAGACATAAGGAAAAGAAAACTGTAATACTACTTAACTCCAATACTGACATTTCAGTAGAGTTTAATGATACAAGAATTCTAGACAATACAGAGGTTGCAAGTGTTTATGACACTTATGTAAGAATTAATTTTAGATACTTGAATCTAGTTATGTTTATAAGTGTATGTTTTTATCTGTTAAAGTTTTCTAGAAAGTACCACTATATTATTATAATGTGTATGTTTGTTTAAATAATTTAAGTGAATACTTACTTACCTGTAAATATTCCAGTGAGAACCATTCTCTAGTAAAGGCATCTTGGGTGGTAATGTTTTATAGTGCCTAACAGAATTTCTTGAATGTGGCAGAACAGAAGAAAACAAAAACAAAAACAAAGCATGCCAGAAATGGAAATATAGGTAAAGCTAGAACAATGTTAACTAGAATGAAGACTATGTAATGTGCATAATACTATAGCAAGTTTGAACTGCTATATGCATAGATTTCTCAATGTATCCTTTTCTCTGTTCAACCAACATATAATTTCAGGACCAGATCTCCTATGCATGTAAACTCAGTAAACCTACTCACATAAGTAAATTTAGAGTAACATCAGAGGTCTGAATTTTCCTCTGGAACTAAATACCTGGGAATCTTTTCAATTTTTGATTAAAATGTATAAGTTGTTGTAAAACATGAAGTTGGTATTTACCTTGCTATTTTTATGTCAATACTACTTTATTTTAATCTACCTTGTGTGATTTAATGATCCCTTCTAGTTATCTATACGATAAATTAAAAGCCTTCACTTCTATATACAATATCACAAACTAAACCACAGTTGCATTAGTATTCAAAAATGTCATGAATTAAAGTCCTTTAGAGGTGGTATACTAGGGGTCAGGTTCACAATGGGACTTTAGGCATTGCTATGCTGAGTACTATGGCGCCTAACTTTTAGGTGCCTAGAAAGTCCACTTGTATTCACAATGCCTGAGTTAGGCACCTAGGTTCCCTATATGAGGAGAGATAGGACCCTAAGCATAAGAGTCACAAAAGGCAGCAAACTAGGCCAGGGGCTGTCTAAACTAATCAATGAGATGGTGATGAGAGGGTGTGTCCTGAGCCCTGCCTCTCGTCAGGTGTCTAAGCTATTTCTTGCAAGAAATGCCACCAGTGGTGGTGATGCCAGTGCTTACTTTTAGCCCAGAGGTTAGAACACTCTGTTGGGCTGTAGGAGACCCAGGTTCAATACCCCCATGTTTGATGAGGAGACAGGATTTAAACAGGGGACCTCTCATTGCTCATAAGGTTGCCCAAACCACTGGGCTTAGGGATATTCTGATGTGTGGTTCCTTCAGTCTCCACTGTTAATGCTGTCCCACTTTAGATAAATAATTAGAGAGCTATTGGAGCAGGGGGGCCGGATCCTAAGTCTTCCACCTCCCATGTGAAAGCCCTAAACACCAGTCATAGAGTTGTTCTCACATACACTCCCTTTCTCTGGCCCAATGACTATTTAAGTATTTAATCAAAAGTGGAACAGCTTCAAGAGGAAAGATGGAGGGAGCCACATATAAGAATATCCCATAGCTCAGTGGCTAAGCCAACATCACCTGAGGTGGGGCAGGGAGACCTCATGTTCAAATCCTTTCTCCCAATCAAGCAGAAGAGGAAATTAAACCCAGGTCTCCCACTTCCCAGGTGATCATTCTAACTACTGGGCTAAAAGTTATGAAATAGAGACCAGCCCTTCCTTCCCCCACGCCAGGAATTTGAAAGGGCCCCGATCTAGTTAGCAAGCTCAGAGCTTGCCTACCAGATCGAGCCTCACAGGTGAGATTGGCAGGAGAACATCTATCTTCTCGTTGGTGGATCATGCTGGGGCTTAAGGCATCTGGATGTCTAGAATGATGCAACAGTGCACATTCTCAGAGGCAGAAACATAGGTGCCGAGGCACCTTTCACAACAAAAATGTAGGTGCCAATGAGTTTAGGCACCTACAAGATTAGGTGGCAACTGAGGGGGGTTTAAGAATGCCAGTAGCACCTAAATGTCCTTTTGTGAATCTGTCCATAGATCACATTAAGTTAAACGGCATTAATAATGGTGAGCTAATTTTAAAAACTATAGGAATTGGTTTATCCATCATCAAGCACCTCTGTGGTGTTAGTGTATATCTACACAGATCTGGAAGTGTAATTTCCAGCTTGAGGAGACATACCCACGTTAGCTCTGATCGCGCTAGCATGCTAAAAACAGAAGTGTTGCCACAGGGCCAGGGTAGGCTAGCCAACCAAAGTGCAGGTAGATTCTCCTGCTGCTCACATCACTGATGCTACACTTCTATTCTGATTGAGGTAGCATACATATGTCTTCTCAAGCTAGTAATTACACCTCCAGTTTGAAGCATAAGCATACCTTTGGATGAGAATTGTTTACATCATAAACCAAGGCCACAGTACATAACATTTTAGAACTAGGAGTGTGGACTCCTAATGAAACTCCAGGAGAAATGTAAAGGAAGAACGTGACCACCCAAATTGAACTCTGTCCCACATAATGCAGTTAACTGGAATTAAAACTGAAACTTTTATGGAGTGTCCACACATTCCACGAAGGTAGAGCTTTGGTGGGACGAGCAGAAGAATACACTCCCTGGAGGTCCTTGCCACCTCCAGGTGTGATTCCTTTCAATAGCATTCCTTGACTCCATGTGGGATTTAGAGCTGGGTGCATCTGTATCCCTGTATCTGAACACCTCCATATGTGAGGGATTCTGAATCTGAATCCTGATTTTAAATCTTGGACCATCTCTAATTAATGTCACATACACACTATACTCTAAACTAAAACTATCAATAATAATAAATACAACGCAATACAATAAGATGTCTTAAGATAAGAATGTATTACTACAGCACTATGCCCACAGCATGCCTAAACTTTATAGTTACACCAATGTAAATGAGTGTGCAGAAACAATGCCAAACAACATAGATGCCCAATAACTTGTTGAGTGGGCATATGAGACAATGGCATCCAAGCCATTAGTCTTTTTTGGACTCTGAATTTAATGGGAGTTGGATCAGGCCCCATAAGTCTTGTAACTCATTTTAGCAACCAATCTATGGTAGCCATTATTATACTTCTACTGCTATGTGGTGGGCTAGCTTCCATGCATAACAATGTGTCTTCATTGTATTGATAACAGTACTTCAGAGTGACCACCTAGCATGTTGCGGAGCATCTACTATAGAGTTAACCCACCGTACCAAGTACATTCAGCAATAAATAAGCTATTCAATGGATACTGTCATATTTCATAACTCCATTATATTACTGCAGAGTATGGAACTATTATATAAATATACATATCAAATACATTATTCAAAGTACTATACCATTAGTACAGTATCCAATTTTTTTTTTTTAAATCGGTGTATTTGGTATTGAACTTGAAAGTGAGGAAACAACAGTGACGAGAGCAAGGCATAACATAGGCAAGTGCTGTGTGAAATTACATGAGAGCACCTCCATTCTGACCTGTATCCCACTTGTGAGCAAAAGAATACTGTTGATCATGCTAAATTGTGTTGAGGCTTTGTGCTATAATTAAAACTCCACTAGGGGCCAGATAAAAGTCACCATACTGTGTTTCATATAAGAACTAAGTGAGAATTTCAAATATTTGTAACTCAGCCATTTTAAAGTAATTGATGATCTGTAAGGGGAAAGGAGCAAATACAGACTCAGAAAGAGACAAAGAGATGCAGAAGTGGGAGCTGAAAAAAGAAAGGCCAGAAGAGGGACGTGAAGGAACAGGAGCTGCATGGTCCCATGAAGCTGACATAAAAAGAAAGGGGGCCAGGAACAACAGAGAAGCAGGGACTGAAATGATTTATTAAATGTTGAAACACTGAAGCACGGGCTTCCTCAGTCACAGAAAGTTAGCCTGCAGTTCTTTTCTAATGATAATAGTTTAAATTTGAAATGAACTTTAATGGAACAGTTGAACTGATGCTGAAGTTCTTGTAAACTATATAATACTTTCTAAGTATTATACAGTGTAACAGAACCTAACCATAAGTTCATCCCTCCACTATCATTGATGAGACCTGGACAATTAAAACTATCCTGGACAAATTTGTGAAAATAATTGTGTAGGGAACAATCCTGCAGACCAGTAGTGCATTGGACTGCATGGTTTTACAGGGTCTTTTCCAATCCTAATTTCTAAGATTAAGTAAAATTTAGAGAGTACTGACCTAAACTTTTACTAACGAACAGTTTGTGAGTAGAAAAGTACATACATGTTTTCCTTAGTTCTCATAACTGTACCATCTACAAAAGAGTTGATTGCACACAATGACACTTATATTTATAAATGTCACCAGAAGAGGAGAAATAGAAATAGATATACAAAGCTTGTAGAAAGTGCTGCCAATTTATCCTAACAAAAATAAAATAAAATTGAAAATGCCTCAGTACTCTTAAAATTAGATCAGAAAAATATTTTTCTTTGCTTACTAATAACCAATTTGTTTAGACAAATTTTAGATCTGAATTAAAGTGATCACTATCTAATGCAGGGATCGGCAACCTTTGGCATGCGGCCCAGCAAGGTAAGCACCCTGGCGCGCCAGGCCGGTTTGTTTACCTGCCACGTCTGCAGGTTCGGCTGATTGCGGCTCCCACAGCCCGCACCGCTTCCCACAGCCTCCATTGGCCTGGAGCGGCGAATCACAGCCAGTGGGAGCCGCAATCAGTCGAACCTGCGGACGCGGCAGGTAAACAAACTGGCCCGCGTGCCAAAGGTTGCCGATCCCTGATCTAATGTAACAAAAGCATGGGAATAAACTGTGACTACACTTTTTCTTCAATTTTTACACTTAAGTCAATGTTTTTTCCAGATTTTTATTTAATTTCTGTGGTATATGACCAGAGGTAGGCTGGTGAGATTGGGTTTTGTTTTTCTTTCACAAAAATTGATCGGGTAGGTTTTGTTTTTCCAAACCCAAGAATGGTTCACATCAGGATTCCATATTTTTGAAAGCTCCAAAATTTAGGAAAGGGTGTCAGAGTGAAGATGTATCTGGACCCAACCTTTAGCAATATGTGGAAACAAGGGTTGAAATGAGATGGGAAACTTTAGGTGTAGGGCTCCCATGGGGTGGTTTAATCCTGGTTCCTTCTTATACCAACCACCAAAGCTCACCATGGGTTTGAGTGTTAGATAATGTAAAAAGTTCAGTTTTGGCCCATCTCTGCTAGAGACTCTCCCCAGATTCCCAGTTGCTGTAAATCAGTGTCCTCCATTAAATCTGGTCCTTAGATCTTTCTGTCTATACAGGGGTAGCCGTGTTAGTCTGTATCTACAAAAACAACAAGGAGTCTGGTGGCACCTTAAAGACTAACAGAAAATAAATCTGTTAGTCTTTAAGGTGCCACCAGACTCCTTGTTGTTTCTGTCTATACAGTGCATAATGAGCTATAGGATTCAAGCTGAATACATAGAAAGACACAGTTTTTCAATATGGCCACAGATATTTCTTATCCCAGGGAAATTGGAAATCAAGCACCCGATTCACCAGGGTGTTACTCAAATTTTATATCAGTGTAATTCCACTGAGATTACAATAATGAATTGGTGTAAATCTGGTGTAACACAATGGTGCATCAGTTAATGTGTCTGAGTAGACAACGATAAAACAAACTCTCAGCAGATACAGTATGACACATTGCCAAAGTATCTAACCTTTTGATTTATGGACTTATTTGTTTAGAAAGTAAAATGTTTGCACTGTCTGCTAAATGGCATGAAGTCATTCCTTATTACATGGATTCAGAATAAATGGCTTCCAGTTTAAAATGTAAAAAGAAGTTTCAGGGATTTCTAACTGCTATCAGGTAGCCTGTGTACTCTCATCACCAGTATGCTCTAATTAGGCTCTAAAGAGTAGTTTCCTGATTTAAAAAATTTTAATTAAACAATCTTCCAAATGGGAATCCAGGGAGATACCAAAATTAAAGATGTGTCTTCTCTGAGGTATGAAATATTGCCTCATGTTGCAAAAGCATTAAAAATTAATTCAGATGTTACAAGCCCTGATCCTACAAATATTTACTTATATGTTTAACTTAAACACATAAGCAGTCCCATTACTTCACTGAAGGTCCATCTCCCTACAGAATAATTTAAATTTGGGGTTCAGCCCCACACTAGTGCTGTGTCCTTTCTTCTTGAGTTCTTGAGTGCTGTAGGACCTACTGGAGCCTGGAGTCAATGTGGAGTATTGCAGTCTCTGGGATTTGGAGTCCTCACAGAATATAGCGCATTTATCAATTCAAAGGTGGGAAATGCCCTAGCAAGGCCCAGCACAGACAAAGCCAAAACTGAAATTCTAAATGGAAGGTAGGAAACAATGGATACATCTACTCTGCAAAAGCCAACCAACCAACCAACCACACAGACCACATCAGCAAGTTTCAAAGCCTGGATTTACAGACTTGGCTCCACAGACTTGGGCTTGCAGGGCTCATGCTCCATTACAAAATAGCAGAATCGACATTCCCACTCGGGCTGGAGCTCAGGCTCTGAGACCCACCGAGTTGCCAGGTTTCAGAGCCTAAGCAGAAACATCTACGCTGCTAACTGTAGTGCCATAGTGCAAGCCATGTGAGCCCAAGTCTGTACTTGCTGTCACTGGTATTCTTTTTGCAGTGTAGACATACCCAAGTGAGAGTTATAAGGTGAAGCACAATGATATGCAACCTTTGTTTATCTAGTCATGTGATCTTCTGAGGAATTTTCTTCAAGTTGGTTGTCAAAACACAAGAAGTATTTATTAATTTTACATAATAAAAAGGAAAGAAATCAAACAACCATAAAAAATCCAAAAAAACAAAAGAAACTTTATAAAACCACAATAATACTGCCGTGCATTTGAAAATCAAGCCTTTTCTGACTAGACAGGTAATTTTCCACAAAATTATATGCTGCAAAAATATCTGTATTATTTAATTTCAAATGTGACTGTTGACACTCATTTTACCACTAGGCTTTCAACTACTCTAATCATAACTATCAAAGTAAACAAACATATGTAAAAATCTTGATCAGTTCTTTTTAAAAAAGAAAATAATTAAATGACAATTCAGTTACGTGTTAAGAAAACAGTGTCCATTACTTACTGTAATATTAATAAAGCTAAAGGAAATGATTGGGCTAGTGAAGTACACAGAAACTAACCATAAGAAATCATGGTCATTGAATTCCTGTATTTACCTGGTGGTATGTAGGCACTCTGCACTTCTTCCTCGTTTTGCTCTGGGCAGCATAAGAAGCTCACTGCACAGACAGGATGGATGGTGAGTGAAACAGATATAAATATGAAGCATTAGATGACATGAGTTATGCAAATGATATGCAAATGAAAACGTAAAAAAAGAAACCAGAAAGCTCACACTGAGATAGCTGTCTTGATAGTGTTCAAACCAAAACAAATTACAATGCTGCTCTAAAATGTAAGCAATAAAGTACCTATGACAACTATATATTCAGATAATACTTTTAAGTGGACATCTAATTTTGTCTTTTTTTTTTTAAATAATTTTGAAGTTACTTTAGAGATTTTAATATTAAAAATTGACAGGATTCTTTATCAAATTACATTGCTATGGCAATCTTCTAGTTCTTGAAGTAGGTATTTATTAAAACATGGCAGCATGATAATAAAAATGGAATTATAGAACCTCCATTTTTTTGAACCCAGACAAGACTGTGTGTGCGCTGAGGAGTGGTGGGGAGTTATAAATGTAGTTTTATGCTCTAGTGAATACAGTGTAAGGAGCATCAACTCATCATTTTGGTGAAAAGAAAAATATTTGTCCACTAAAATATTAAGTTTATACAAATGTAAATTCTGATCTAAAGCTTTTTGATTGCAATATTTTGTTATACATCCCCTTACAGAAATAGAAAATGTGTTAATCAGTTATCAAAATCTCCTTTCTAACCATTTCTATTTTACAGACTACTTATTCCGTTATTGCAACCAGCAGTATATTACAAGAGCCAAGTGCTACAGCCAACAATATAGATACTGTAAATTAATCATTTCTATCTTTAATAAACATGATTGTGATAACAGTATGTCCCTTTAGTGATTTTTGTGAGTATCTGCACAAAGAGAAGTCCCAGAATCTCCTTATTGTTATTGACACCAAAGTGAAGCTAAAGTTCATGAAGATGCATCATTTAAAAAGAATCAAAGAATCATATGAAGTACTATGGTAACAGAGAGAGAAAAGATATAAAAATTATGCAAGGTGGCAAAATGATCAATTACTTTCATGCTTTATATTGTCATTAAACTATAGATTTCACTATGGAAACTGGTATATCATAAGCAATATTTATGTAATATAATAAACCAGGGAAATCAAAATCACGGCTTGCAATCCACATGTGAGATTTAAATTTGCATCTGGAACTACAGGCCTGATTTTGATGCAACAAAATATGTTAAAGGTGAACTGAATTGTTTTTCTTAAAAGGAAAGAACAATAAAACTATTTAATATCTCATATCATTAGTAGAATTTATGTGTAGACTTCCAAATTACAAATAAATACAATATAATTTAAAACAAAGTAATTGAAAATAAAATTCCTCTTATTTCTTGTACACACAAAGGATTCTGTGTTTCTCTTGAAAGAGTTGAGGACATTACAAAAGCCAAAGCACTGTAAGGATGCAGGACCATCATGGCTTAGTTATCAGAGGGTATGTCTACACTGCGACTAGACGCCTGCAGCTGGCCTGTGCCAGTTGACTTGGGTTCACTGGGCTCGGGCTAAGGGGTTGTTTAATTGTGGTGTAGACATTCGGGCTCAGGACGCAGCCCAAACTCTGGGACCCTTCCACTTTGCAGGGTCCTAGAGCCTGGGCTCCAGCATAAGCCTGAAGGTCTACACAGTAGTTAAAAAAGCCCCTTAGCATGAGCCCCACAAGCCAGAGTTAGGGTCATGGGCCAGCTGCAGATTTTTAACTGCAGTGTAGACAGACCCAGAGACAACATACAATGTTATAGGAGAAACAATGAGAAGTCCTTGTGGCACCTTAGAGACTAACAAATTTATTTGGGCATAAGTTTTCATGGGCTATGAAGTGGGTTATAGCCCACAAAAGCTTATGCCCAAATAAATTTGTTAGTCTCTGAGATGCCACAAGGACTCCTCGTTGTTTTTGCTGATACAGATTAACACGGCTACCCCCCTGAAACCTGTTATAGGAGATGCACTAATGAAATCCAGAGGCAGAAAGGGAAGTGAATTTGGATTGTAGGTCAAATCTTAAAGTTCTTGCTCAATATTTACTCTGTCTTCATTCAGTCAAAGTTTGCCTATCAAGGACCTCAAGATTTGGCCTATTGAAAATAGTGATATAAAACACACCCATGCATCGAATATAAAATAGCAAATACATATGGAATACAATTCTAATTATTTCCTCAAATTGAAAAATAAATCATACTGGTAAGGTATTAATAGTCTCATAATTAATGATATTTTTGACACATTTACAGAAAAATGTATTCCTCTAGAAAAGATTTTTGAAAGAGATACTAGATTATGTATATGAACATGGAGATTACCACATCTTCTTTATAAACAAATGGATGGAATATAACACTGAGAGACCTATTTCACTGAGAATCAGATAATGATACCTGAATTCACAGCAGTCAGAATTATGACACCCGGCTAGATAGCTTTCCCCAGTAATTTTTTATTTAAAAAAAAATAGCAGTGCAGACAATCCCAGTTCTGTTGGAAATATATCACAACTTGTTGCTGAACAATCCTCCAGCTGGAATTTTATATGAGGTCATGATTCACTTTCCTAAATCTAAGGGCTCTCTGTTATTGCTCCTTCATAATAATTTAAAAATAACATCTGAAACTCCTGAACAAAGATTATGAAGGTTATGACCAGGAATATCCAGTATTGATTTGGGTGCTACCATAATACAAATAAATAACTAGTAACAATTTGTAGGGGTATGATGAGATGCAGTTAATAATTGTAGATTATTTCAGGCATGGGGATAGTAGGAACTTCTATGGATCTATCCATTCCTTTCCAGTGGATGTTATATTAGACAGCTGGCAGCAGGTATGGATTTTGATGAGGACTTCTGTAAATGGGTGAACTTATTGCAAGAGCATATCAAATAAAGGTTCTTTAAATTCTTAATCTTCTTCCGTGGTAGTAACTGCAACAGGCTCCCCCTTAAGATGCCTGTATTACTCATTGATAAGTTTGTGGTTCTCATGGGACCCGCCACTAGAGATAAATAAACAAGAGTTGTATAGTGCTTTCCGAAATGACTGCAGGGCACCTTAAGCAGGGGGAGGCATTATCCAGCTTGCCAGGGAAAGGGGAATAGCACTTTATGGGGGTGGAGGATGGGGAGGGAGAGGGGCTCAGAAACTGCTGCAAAAAGAGGAATGGGTCAGCGTGGTGATGCTGACTCATCCCCAGGTACCAGAAGGCCTGGGGAGTTGAATAGGGGCAATCCTGGCAGGCGCAGCCCCTTTTCCCCAGACCAAGCTAAGCGGCACCCACCTTCCCTCCCCTCCCCTTGAGATGGCAAAATACCAGGTTTGGTCAGGACCTGCTGTGGGCATTGCACTAGCTGCTTCTTTCCAGGGGGGCTGGGAAGGAATTTTTCCCTCACCACCAGATTGGCCTAGGTTGAGTGGAGAGGTTTTTCTCCTTCCCCACAGTGGGTTCAGGGAGGGCTTTGTTATGGTGCGTAGGAAAGGGAGTTAGGCTATGATGTTGCAACGCGTTATGTACATGTGGGGCGGATGCCCAGGGCAGGTACTCCATAGGGAAGGGATACAGTGACCAGATAAATGGCTTTGTAAAGGATTTAAAAAGGAGGTGTTGGTTAAAGGAGGGGGAGAGGGGAGGGAGCCAAACCCCCTTCCTTATAGCACACTGTATCTCTCATTGGAGGGGGGGGGGGAATGGTAAGGTCCCAGCAAGGGTTAGCTGGAGCACCTGGATGGAAAATGAAGGGGGGCTGGAGGAAGCCTCTGGACAGCTATTGAATGAACATGGAGTTACCTGTATAGGTTTATCTGCCAGGTAGCCTCAGACATCTAATAATGAAGTTGTGGCCTGATTAAAACCATATCAAGTGTCTCCTGTCCTCCTTTTAGAATAGCTGGACAACAGAATTTTATTTAGGGGTGGGAGTGAAACAAGACTGTTGCAGCTGCTGTCTCTGGGAGAAGAAACTCCTGGCAAAGGTACAGGGGGCCCTCAGGATAGCAACACCCACCCACCCCCCCATTTATCCATCAAAAGCTGGCTTCTCAAAGCAAGCGGAGGAGAATAAAAAACTCTCTTTCCTCAGTCAGAGTCCCACCCCAGCAGCACCCCTCCCTTGACTCTGCTCTGATGGCTTCTGCTTCAGACAGCATCAGAGCAGAACCCCAAAGCCCTTCCATCCAAGCAGGAAGGGACGAGATGATCCAAGAACACAGTCAGGATTTTTGCTTTTGACTGTGGGATATTTTGCATATACTTTTATTGTCTAAATTTGCGCCTAGGAATATGAGTCACCCTTGAATGTCCCCCACTCCCTTTCAAGCTCTACTTATGAGGAAGAATACTAAGGAAAGTGTTCAATAAAAATATGTATATTGAGTACATAACTACTTTACAATAAAGAATAAAATGAAACATACATATAAAGTGGAAAACACTGCAGTGTTAGCATCTTAACTGTAAAATTGATTTTTTTATGATTAAAAAGCATTTCAATTCACCTCTAAGAAGAAAATCAGTGGTACAATCCAACTTATACAATTCTGTACATATTTCTTGCCTACTTTTATTGTATGCCATGGTAAAACAAGTCTCAAGAAATTAAAACTATCAACAACACGTATTAATGCCTAGATGTAAGTTATCTCATTTAAAATTTGAAAAGGCAAGATCATATACAAAACTGAATTAGGGATCACTGCAGAGGCCATTTGCTATTAAATTACTATGTTGCTTCAAAACCGGACAAAAGTTCCAGAAATATTTGCAGTTTTATTCCCTTCTCCCATTTCTTCACCCTACTACAGATGGCATTGTTAATAGTAGGCTTGAGGAATCATTTTAAAATAGTAACACCGGGACTGATTTTGTCACCCTTACTCACACTGATAGGACTATTGACAAAGTAAGGGTAGCAGAATATAGACCACTATGATTTAGCTATATGCCGTTTTCCCACAAAATAAGTAAGTGACCTACAAATATGAACAACCAGAGTCACCATTATGTTTCCAAGTACTGCACCAAAATTTGTTCCTATGATTTCTATGTATAAACAAGGCAAAATTCCTGGTTTATTCTTCCTCCCTCTTTTCATATTCTATGCTACAAAAATTATTTTCAGTATGAATATAGAACCTATTCCTTATCTGTTGCCTAATACTGACAAAAGCACTTTTTCTCCCCTAGTGTTGTAATCACGATTGTTCTTGTCAGTTATGACCATTCCTTTCCCCTTTCCCATTAACCCAAATGTGCATTCAAACAAGTACATTCAAACACTAGCCAAAAAGACAAAGACACTTCTATACATGTTCATAAGTTTAAGTTGAAAACATACCTTTCGTGATCTGACAAATACTGACTATCCATTTCTCTGGACCTGCGATCAACTGGACTTCGGGAGGCATCATGGTGTCTAGTTGGAGAACGTGATCTTCTCATTTGATGAATTTCATCTAAACTCCTAGAAGTGTTTATATAATACATATTTGTATGATGGTTTTCTTCTCCCCATAGTTAACACAGTTTAACAGGTTACAAGGTTACAAGTTGCCTGCTGGAAGGTTTCTCCTTAATGTATGACTTTTCAAAAATATTAGCTCTTTGGGAAAAAAACCCTCATTTAGCATGGGTAACAGTATTTTTTACCCTTTTTAGAATTAAATTCTTTGTGAACACAGAACTCAGCAATGTTAATGGGGGACATGTTCCTGTATTTGGAGAATAGTTAGCAAGAATTCATTTTGAAGTTTATGGTTTTATAGTTTCATACCTAGGTTTCCAAAGGCAGAGTCCCAGGCTGTGGACCCTGGTCAGTGGAAAGTCCTTGCAGCAGAAAGAAGTGTCTGTGACTACCCTTCAGCAAGGGTTAGGGTGGGACATGGTAGACCACAGGTAGTCTGCACTATCCCTAAAGTGTGTGGCACTGCATAGGAAGGGGCTGTGACTGTACATCTTCCAGAAGTTTCTGACCTGCTACGGAGTCTGACCTAAAAGTTCTCTTCCTATGGTGAAATTCCTGAGGGAAAGCAGCAGTGGAAATACCACTGATCACTTGAAGGGCTGATTCCTGCCTCTTCCCCCTCATTAGGGGCAGTAACTGCAACTCTTATAGGAGGGACCAAGATGCAGCCCTCTGTGCCAGTGGGAGTGAATCAAGCCATATGTTTATACTGAGTTTCATTGTTTTGCTGACAGACTGAAAGTACCTGACTGTTTTTCCAAGAAGAACTCAAACTTCGTTTTCTAAAAGGGAAGTGAAAGGTTGTATGGCCTTTCAGCTAGGTGTGAGGAATAAAAAGAGGGGTCGGCATCGTAGCCTGTGCTGTGGAGGAACACATTTCTTAAGTGCAACTCAGTCTCCCACTGTAAGGCCAGGAAAGACTGGCTGGCACCTTTGCAGTTAGTTCACTTGGATGAGACGGAGAATCTAGTGCCACTCTGGATTAAGTAATTCTGGAGCCAGCATGTGATTGGCGCTGAAGAAAGTCTCTTATACTCATCTATGATCCAAGGGATGTTATCTGCAACACAAGCCTTGGCTACACTAGAACATGTATCCTTGTTACAGTAGCTGTCAGCATCAATACTACTATTGTATTTAAACAATCATATGAATAGGGCTCTATCATTTTTTTACCATCATGTCAAAATGCATGAGCCCTGTTTACATTAGTAGCTACTACCAAGTATAACTGCAGTATTGCTAGCTGTTGCTCTATTGCAGGTACTAAGATTTCTAGTGTAGACACCTCCAGAGGACAGAGGAGTGAAAACTGAGAATGAGTGGATGAGGCTACGGGTTTCAAGAGAGGTTCAGAGAAGCTCCCTCTCCTCTCCCTTCCTCTATACAGAGAAATGAAGAAGGTTAGTCAAGTTTTGAGTCTACCAACCCTGGCAATATCTACATCTGAAAATGTAAAGCACACAACACATTTTTATGAATGTAAAGCAGGAAAAAAACAAAAGAGATTCACTTATTCATTACATGTTGCCTACCAGAAGTTACACATACAGGAACTATATACTTAACTTTATAGCCAGTCTAAATGTTATCATTGTTCTCTGAAATATATCTTACGTTAAATATCATTTGGTATTTTATTGTTCTCTCTCTAACTAAACAAATCCCATAAAAAGAATCTTAGAATGTAATTTGTAGGAATTGGTAACTTCAGATTACTCTTACTTGCAAAATCAGTTCATTCATGGTTATTAATGGTATATTTTATTTATTATTTATAGCACACACAGTGGACTCACAAAAGGCATGGTCTCTACCTGAAAAAGCTTCCAATCTAAATTTTAGATACAACACAATGACCAAAATGATAAACAGTAGGGAGGATGTCAGGTAAGGAAAGATTAGGGTTACAGTATTGCAATTAACAAGGAAGTAACTTGATGGGTGCTTTAAATAGAGGATTAAGGATGTGATAGGCTTCAAACAATTTATATGCTTCAATATTAAACTAACACATGAAGAAAAAGTAATACACTGTGAAAAATAATGAAGAGTTCAATCAGATGAGAGTGACATAGAACCTCTGCTTGGTTACACAAATTTTGAATCACCAAAGTGTTTCAGTAACTAATGTTGCTAACTTGTGAACCCTACCTCTGTAATGGCACATTTGGTAAACGTGAACGGGTCCTGCCCTGATCATCACCACGGTGAGGAGATACAGATCGTGAACGATGATGTGTTGTTCTTTGCTGTTCTGGCACAGTTAACGTTGTAGATCTACTTTCTCTAGTATTAGATCTATAACCTACTGGTAAAAGTGCAACAAAATGATGTTAGACAGTAAGGATCTGGGTCTGCAAACATGCAGGTAATGGTTGGTCTTTCCAGGAAAGCACATCTAAATGATTACAAGATTTTCAAGTAGTCATTTAGCCTTTGTAAATCCTGAAATGTCATGCAGCCAGGATTAATTACTAGCATTACCTTTAAATGTAATGTGTGTATATGTATAGAGGCAGAGAAACTGAGAGGAGTTTGGGTGCATACTGGGATATCCCTGGGGAGGGGGGGGGGCTTCAACAAGTCACCTGAATTGGGGGATATTACCTAAAATCTAATGCTTTAAGTATTACTGCTCACTGGAGGTCACTTCTTCAAGTGACATGGTAATTGTTCTACACTGTGAACCCCAACCCCATTCAGTGTTTGTTTTATGAAATCGAAGCAATTTAGGTTATTTTCATCTAAACTACTTGCCCACCATGAATGGGAGAAGCAGCTGGTAAGGAACAGAAAAGCATCCCTGAGGTAAAGAGATGTCCCTCGAGCCAGTTTCAGCTGAGTTCTAAGTAAACCGGACCAGAGTCACCCTTATTGCAACGAACATAAAAGTATTGACATTACATTAAACATAATAATTGGATACCACAGATACTGTATAAGTAATTTTCCTGTGAATAATATGAGTGAACAGCAAATGGTTTGCTAAGTAAAAATTTTTAAAAATTGTTTAGAATTAAAAATCATTATCAGAATGTTTGTCCAATTTTAAAAATTGTTTTATCAACATTTCCAAACAAAAATACTTGAGCAGCAGCTTCTTGTTCATTTAACTATCAAGAGTAGTATTCAGCATATACTTTTTGTTCTTCTTCAATATTTACGTTATGGAAGTACCAAAATCTCCCCAAAGGACTGTGGATACCCTGCTATGCAATATACAAACCAAAGGTTCACAGAGTTTGCAATTTCATGCAACAATTGAGCACATGGCATACCTGATTGAATGCTTAGATTTTGGAGAAATCATTAGCTATGGCAAGGAACAATCTGAACTCCTGCTTTAGCAACAGAGTGGAAAGAGAAATTCCTTTTGAACAACTGTGTTATATTTTTTAAAAGTCAACACAGGTTCTGTATTCACATGATTCTGAGATGTTTAATTCTACAAAAATGTGTAACGTACAAAGGTGGCAGCTCCCTTAAAACAACACTTTCCCCTATTCTGTAGTACTTTGGCATTGTTACTTCAACACCAAGAAACAATTAACAATGGTAAGAATAACTTTAGCATAGAGCTTCATAATTACCATAACAACAACATAGTTGGTAATGTAACCACTGAGGTAGCAAGGGGACAAAGAGGGCTTGGAAGGAAAAAAATAAATTCAATTTTCTTACACATTATAGGCTAGATTATGCCACCCTTACTCATGGTGAGGAGCACCTTAATCCCAGTCGAGTCCTACTGTAGTCAATAGCACTACTAAGGAAGCAAGATACTGCTTACTCAGTGTGAGTAAGGCTGGCAGTATCCGGTCTTAAAAAATTTGGCAATGGGATTTCCAGGAAGAGATGTTGAACAAGCAAGTGTACAGTCTAATCTGAATGAAGTGAAGTAGTTTGGGGTTTAGCGATAGTGTGAAATCCTGGCCTCATTAAAGATAATGAGAGTTTTCCCTCTGGATTCAGTGAAAGTTATCAACATAGAGGCAGGAGCTGATGTGTGACTAGATGAGCTTGCTCAATGAAAGGGCAGAATCCTGAAAGACTTAAGGCAGAAAAGAAGGAGAAACTCCCAAGAGATAGAAAAATGAGACTGGAGAGATAGGAAGAGACCACGAAAGCAAGAATTTCTTCAGGGAGAGAGTGATCCATTATGTTAATGGCAGTCATTTAATGTCAGTTATCTATCTAGAAACTTTTAATGAACCTTATGGCCATCTGATATTGTATCTCTGCTAAATATATATTTGATTCCACACACATGATATACTGTTTCAAAGCCTGGAATAAATCATTTGTAAATCTCTTTTTTTAAAAAGAACAAGTTAGGATAAAGCAACAAAATATGGGACCTTAATTGTTTTTCCTCACTTGTAGATTGCCTGATAGCAAGTTTCAAATGTTAACTTTGGATGCCATTAGAATTGCACCAAATCAGAGAATCAAATATTAAAAGATGGAAAGAGAAAAAAGAAAAGTGTAGCAAAAAGACTCACATCAGGACCATACCTTACACACACACATCCTTTAGCTTTTGTTTAATTATCTTGTTATCACTTCCCAGATGTCTCCAACCCAACAGCCATCTGATACTGCATGTGTGAAAGTTATGTTCAAAAATAATTTGGGGATTTAGCTTCTCAGGCAATCTGAGATTGATGCATAACAATGACGATGTTTTCCACCCGCAGCAGCAGAGTTGAGTCTCACTTGCTGTTTAATTCTAACTTGTGTGTCTTAATATAAGTTTAGCATTGCACCTTCCTTTATCAGACCATTTTTTTTTCATTTATAAAATTTGCCCTTTCTTAAGAGCTCTGGCTGCATACATAAATGTAGTAAAGCATGTAACTTCACATATATATCTACACAGAGATTTCTTCCAGACAGAAACTAGAAGGAAACCAACTCTACAGTCTCTCTCACCCATATCTGACAAATGTCAAAGGAATTAAATATGTTATACACATTAAGTTTTGAAGGCCAGTTAACTTGGTCTCTGTCAGATCAGCTAGTAAAATGGGTTTGCATGAGCTGGTAGAACTAGTTTGGAAATGAGTTTCTTCCAACCAGCCTACTCACATTAATTTAGCAACCGTTAGAATCAACCCAACTGTCATGGATGCCAGAGACTTCAAAAGCAGAGAGATGGTCTCTGAGACAGCAAAGGCCCAAGTTACATATGGCTCATGAATTCTTCAAAGTACAATGGGACACTTAGGCACCGAACTCCTAATGACTTTCAGTAGGACTTAGGCATCTAAGTGCTATTTGAGCCTTTGAAAATCTATTTCAATGAGTGCTGTTGTCATATACATTTTGAAAGACTGCTTTGTGGGATGGAAGATAGGTCATTGCAGATGGGGAATTGTTTCCCAGAATGAACTGGTAAGTGAAAAGCCCCATACAGTTAAAATAGTGCAGCCTTAGAGATGAGTAAGGGATTACACATGCCAATATCTGTACCCCCATCTGCAAAAGGAAAAAAAGTAATGTGAAAAAATGATGGGAATCATTTTATTTAAAATATTTTTCTATTTTATTTGATGAAAGAATGAAGAAAATCACTCCATTACACATAATACTAGTGCTACGGATATTGGGACAAATTCTCTTCTTGATTACTCAGGCACAACCCTATTAAAGTACTATTGCTTTGCACTGATGTAAATGAGAGCAGAGTTTAGCCCATTCAGCAATGCAGTGATATTTCACACAAATGGCAAAAATGCAATGAATAACTGCTGTTTGTAGGTTATTTTAATCATAGATTAATAGGGAGAACTTTTCAAATACTACCACATTTTTAGTATGTTCAGTAACTTTCACAAGTAACTTTTACATAGAAAACCTGATTTAGCTTGGGTGGGTAAACAGCAACTCTTTACTAGTCTGTCATGAATGGGAGTTTTAATCTTGTGATTTGTGGCAACTGCCAATGAAATATACTTAAGGTATGGTATCTAAAATATGCCCCAATGTTTTAGTTTATTGAATATACAAAGGGTGCTACCCTAAAGTGGGATCAAGATATTCTCTCTCTATATTTATACATTTATGCACATTTACGGTAATGATAATTCATGAATACTTATGAAAAGTATAAAAGATATAGCCATGCCACATGCATTTTAATTTGCAACCATGCATTTTAAATATATTCCATGGAGGATTGCATTATATCTGGGTTTCAAGCAAGAAGCAAAATAAAAAAAATGCAATGGATATTGAAATTTTAATTAGTATTTTAACTGAATTCTTAGAATTAAAATTGTAGTTTCACTTATGCTTAGAGCATTGTGAAGTAACAAACAAACAGCTTTGAATCATCTAATGCAAAATCCAAACAGTCACATCTAAACAAAAATATTAATGAGTAAATAAAAGTACATTTTAATTTAATTTAGAAGGAAAGACACCACAGAGTAACTAGTCATACTGTTTTCTCCATAATACAATCTCCAAAACCAGCATCCTGCAGGAGTCTGGAAAATTAGAGGGGGAGGAGGGAAGGAACAGCAAAAAGAAGCAGGACCATGCTCTTCACCCACGCACCTGGAGGAACTACTCCAATACCATCATCAACATCATAATCTGAGATGTCACTATCACTGATTCGCTGAGATCCTGCACAACAGTAAGGCAAATAAATACCTGTATATCTGGTTGTATTGGAAAATGTAAAAATATGTTTAAATAAAAACTCTAGTTATTCCTGTGATTCAAACATAGGGTGATTTTATATTTAAACAATATGAAATGAGAATTAAACTAAATTTAGATGGCATAGTCTGGTATCTATATGCTTATTTTTTTAATGCACCAGTTTCAACAGTATCTAGTTGGTACAGCTCCTACGAGTGCATCAGTTAATTACGAAGTTATGCACTGATTGGAATTTATTAGTTTCCTTACTCTTACTCTTCTTAATAGACTGGTAAAAGATCAGAAAAAATAACTGAGAAAATATCTTTAGAATTTGTTCTGTATTTCTTTCATATTTTTAAAATATAATCTAATTTCAGTAGAGTTGACGAGCTGCAGCTATTTCCATATAGCAGTTATTCCAACCCATACTATGTAAGCCTTGGGATGCTATGGCTCTGAGAAATGCCACTTTTTAAAAACCATTGTTTTCACATTTAAAGTCTCAACAAAGTCTGATCAGAGAAAGACAGGTTTTGACTATTGTACTATTTTGTGATTTTCATCTTCCCAAACACACACATACAAACACTTTCTGTGTAGCAAAAGTAAGTTTTATATCTGGACAAGAAGTGTGTTACAGGTTGAAATGATCAATATACTAAAAGCTGTTCCCAAACTTTAGAGTCCTTGAAGCTTTTTTTTTTTTTAAGACCCAACATTTAGTAATAATAAATACATCCCATTTCCTTGTTAAAATCATTTATTATACTCAGTTCAGTGTTTAACAAAGACAGCTATGCAAAAACTAACATTTCAAACTATAGGTAATTTCAACAAATTTTGCCAACCTGGAAGTTGCAAACCACAGTGGAGTTGATTAGGAACTGTAATAGTTTTTCCATTTCCAATTGTATTTTCGGTTATGTTTTGGAAAGAATATCTTTATTTTTGAATATGGCTGCCAAAACTTCATTTAAACATTATTACAGCATAACTGATTGTCATAAATCATTCCCAAATTAAAACTGAAAAAGGACAGCGATAACATTTGGACCTACTTTGTAATTTTTTGCTAGTGCTTTCTCCACCATGGACATGTCTCCGTGGCATGAAAGGTGATGGCTGAGGCAGAGGTAGTGAGGATTCATCATGTGTCTGCAGCTTATACCAATGTGGTTCATCATCTAAAAGTGCTGTCTCCAGCTCTATAAGGATCTGGGGGAAAATGTATCAAACTTAATCTTAGTTTAAAACTGCATAGCATTATTTTTTAAAATACAGAAATATTTTATATTTTAAGCATATAAGAAAGTCTAACTATTTTGTAATGCCATTGTATATATCACCTCTCCAAGAAATTCACTCTCTTCTTCTTGTACTCTTGGCTGGTCCCATACGGTTATTTCTAACATTCGTTCTCTAAAATCTCTACGATGTACATGTGAATAGAGAAAAGTTTGGTTCCATTTTGGTTCTAGGCTTTTCTTTACTGTTTTGGTCCTCCTTTTACTTTTATCACTGAAACATAAACAGTCTTGTAAATTATAATGCAAAAACAGGTCACATACTGCCATCTAGTAACCAAGACTATAATTGTTTTCATCCTTTCTGATTTAAACATCATGATTACTAGGCTTGGCAGCATTCAGTTTGTATTTTTTTATAATTATGATGGATATCATCAATGTTTATTTTAAAGCATTTTTCTGTATCTATTTACATTTTCACAGTTGTACAAAATTATGAATTTTAAGCATTTTTCCATTTTTAATTATTTAAATGTTCACAATTGTGGGAAATTATAGGAGGGATTAGACAATGGGGAATACAATAACTATTTAATGATAGGTGATGAGATTCAAAAAAGTTAAAGTTGTATAATTATTAAAACACAATTTGTCAACATCACATGTCAAAATACACAAGGTAAATATCCTTACATCAAACTCTAATAAGTCCTCAAGCAACATTTTTCTTACTTTGCCTATCTGTACATTTCTATTATTATTGATGGGAATATTTTTTCATCGGTTTGTAAGTGTACGGTGAAATGGATGTTTACTTATATTTTACTGATAACAAACCTAATGATCTCTTATGTCTAAAAGGGATCAGTATCTGCTGTGCAGTATTCCAGGTTCAGCCATATTTCCACGTAGCAGATTACTTACAATTTGATATTATGTGATTATAGATGCATGCTAGTTTTATACTTTTTAATGTTCATCTAAACTACAATAAATGATTAAAGGAAAATATGAAAGAAACATGCATTTAAAGTATAATTAACATATTTAAAAAGTTCAGTTGATACATTTTTCACTTGGAATATTACCTTCTATCTGGAAGAAAATACATTTTTACATAAGGATTCCTGGGACGCCCATCTCCTCTAGGTGGCAGATCTGTTGCTTGTAGAACATTTACTATTAACTGATGCCCCACTTTGTCATACCACAGTTTCACCTACAAGATCCAAGTTACCAGAAATTATTCATGAAAATGAAAGTAAAAGTATACAAAATAATTTTTGCTGCCTATCATTAGCCAAAACATAAAATGTTTTTCAGAAGGGCTGACCACTTTTCATACAGTTTTCTACAAGATTTTTTTTCTTCTGTTTTATGTGAGATTTTAGTTTGGACGTTTTGGGTTTCTTCTGGCAGAAATCACACCATCTCAACCACATGAACTAAACAAATGGCTCTCAGCCAATTTGGAAGAACCCATGACAGTTACTTCTCCAAGCCTTTTTTTGAATATGCAAAGGCTTTGCACATAGATATTGGATCATGAAATCTCTGGCAATATCACTCTTCAAAAAAATCTGACTATTAAATAAAAGTTCCATAGATCTTCATTACATTCTTCAAGTATAACTAACATATTTAGGTTTCTAACTCACTGAAGCAAAACCTTACAGCACTGAGGGGGGAGTGGGGACACTAGCTATTGTTACCTTTGCTGTCTCAGCTCTGTTTTGCTAAGAGAGAAGTCTTACAGCAGGATGGATGAATATACAGAGAGGCTTACAATATTGCTTCTTTGGGGCCTGACCCTGCAGTCAAACATATATGCCACTGATTTCACTGGATACATGATCAGGTCCTTAGAAAGCAACATCATATATTTTTGATTACAGCCTGCTGCAGATGGAAACTGTGGGCTAGCTATATCGTCTAGCCTGTAGACTATGTACTGTACATAGTCATGCAGTACGCTGGGTTGCATAGGAGTGAGTTTACTTCAGTAGTGCTAGGTGGGAAGCCTGTACTGTAGTGATACTTGAAGTAGAGGTGGAATGCATTTAACCTGACTTGTTTAGCAGATACTTTTATGAAAACTATTAAATGTGATCAAGCTATTTCTTAAAATAATTGTACCATAAGGACATATTTGAGTCTGTTCTCTGCTTAGCATCTGGCAGAATTACTAAGTGACTCCAATACCTTTAAAGAGACTGGAAGCATGTACAAATCAGTCTATGACAGTATTCATTACATCTTTTAAATGCACAACTTCTATTATAATCACAGAAAATTACATGAAGTAATGTTCATATAAACAAAAAGGTGTCATTGAACAGTGTGATGTTGTGCAGTCTATATGGTTTTATAAAAATATGATAATAAGTGAATATAATGTAACTGGAATATGCTTCATGCAAAAGGTCTCTTGTAAGGTATCTTTACAAAGCTTATAATCCACTGAGTGTGATCATCCTATTTGTATGAATGTACCACTCTTTTGTATATAAAACTAGAAATATGAAATATAACTCTGAGGGCCTACTGTAGTTATGCAAAGTGTGGGCCATCAACGGTGGTTTGGAATCTTGATGACTCCCATTGTGTTTACCTGTGAATCTTCCTGTATATGTGTGTGCTGGCAAGTGGGTAATGAAGTCTTGCAGTGACATGTGATCATGTCACCTGAACTGGAATCCATCTTTAACCTGGTGCTTTTCCAGTGGGGGGTGGGGGGTGGAAACCCAGAGGGACAAAGGGTTCCTGCCTTATGCAAAAGATATATAAAGGGGTGGAAGAGAACAGAGGGGGGAGGAGCCATCATGAAGAATCCCCTAGCTACCACCTGAGCTGGAACAAGAGCTGTACCAGGGGAAAGAATTGTGCCCAGGCCTGGAAAGTGTCCAGTCTGAGAAAAAACTTACTGAAGCATCTCTGAGGGTGAGATTATCTGTATTCAGTTTGATTAGACATAGATTTGCGCATTTTATTTTATGACTTACTTTGTTCTGTCTAATATAATATATGGAGATATACCTATCTCATAGAACTGGAAGGGACCCCAAAAGGTCATTGAGTCCAGCCCCCTGCCTTCACTAGCAGGACCAAGTACTGATTTTGTCCCAGATCCTTAAGTAGCCCCCTCAAGGATTGAACTCACAATCCTGGGTTTAGTAGGCCAATGCTCAAACCACTGAGCTATTCCTCCCCCTACTACTTGGAACCACTTAAATCCTACTTTCTGTATTTAATAAAATCACTTTTTTCCTTATTAATTAACTCAGAGTATGTATTAATAATTGGGGGAGCAAACAACTTTGCATATCTCTCTATCAGTGTTATAGACAGCGAACAATTTATGAGTTGGAAACAGATTTATTTGGGTTTAGACCCCATTGGGAGTTGGGCATCTGAGTGCTAAAGACAAGCACACTTCTGTGAGCTGTTTTCATGTAAACCTGCAGCTTTGGGGCAAGTAATTCAGACCCTGGGTCTGTGTTGGAGCAGACAGGAGTGTCTGGCTCAGCAAGACAGGGTGCTGGAGTCCTGAGCTAGAAGGGAAAATAGGAGCAAGGGTAGTCTTGGTACATTAGGTGGAAGATCCCAAGGGGGTTTCTGTGATCCAACCCGTCACAAACAGAATAGACCTTTCAAGAATATAACTCTTCAAATGTCCTACACAGAAGTGAAACAGAACGAGTGGCAGAAAACGGATTATTTGCTTTATAATAGATTACCCATGTTATGTAATATAACCAGATATTTCTCAATAGTCACAAAAACAAACAAAATATACTGTAACAGATAAATGGTATTTCCTCTGGGTACTCATATACACTTACAGAAAGCTGCCCTGGTAGGACTTGTGGTGCATCTTTTAGAGCTCCAGGACTAGTTGGAGAAATAACAGAAATAGAAGGCCTTTCCATCTTCTGAGATTCAAAAGAACTTGAACCTAAATGAATGAGAGAAAAAAAATCTCAGACCTAGAACTGATTTGAAGCCAATTTTATTAGATCTGTGCATTACTTTAGTTTTCTAATTATTCAGGGCTTGTTTATATGCAGAGTTTCACCAGTTTATTTGAAAGTATGATTTTAAACTTATTTTAGTTAAACTGGTGCAAAAAGCTGTGTGGACACTCCTATTTCAGTTTAAATCAGGCAAATTTTTGTTTAGCTCAAGTAAATTAGGAACAGGTTTAAGCTAAACAAAAATAAGAGTATCCATATGGGTTTGCACCAGTTTAACTAAGCAAGTGCAAGCTTATGTGTAGACAAGGTCTCACTTCTACCTACATTTTGGAATCTCTTATGGGAGATAATCTATCAGGTGCCCCTCACTTCCAGTGGAAGCAGCTTTCTTCCAGCTGTGCCTTATTAAAGACTTCTACTCTCCTGCAAAAACTTATTCACTGGCTGCAGCAGAGAAGTACCCATAAGTAGGGTTCTCAAGCCCCCTCCTTGGCATTTCCACAGGTCTTCTGCTAAGATTAACATCATCAGCTCCCTGGCGCTTCACTATTCCACACCACCAGGCTCAGCATAAATGCCAGGGCAATACAAAGAGAGCTCTCCCAGCGCTGTAAAAAAACCACCCCTGTGAGGGGAGTGGCTACTAGTGCTGGGAGCGTGGCTACTAGCGCTGATGTACTGTCTACACTGCCACTTTACAGCGCTGAAACTTGCATCACTCAGGCGGGTGTTTTTTCACATCCCTGAGCGAGAAAGTTTCAGTGCTGTAAAGTGGCAGTGTGGACAAGGCCTAAGACACTCACAAAGGAGCAAATTCTGGATCAGATAGGGAGAGGTGTGGTCTAGGGATCTGAACAGGGGAAGGTTAATCAGGGATGGGAAATTATGACTCCCTCTGAAGCCTCTGGCAACTTCCTTACTTAACTCCTCTGCCTCATCTTTCTCATAGGTAAAATGAGGATAATAATAGTTACCTTTCTTATAGTGCTGATCTAGAAAGATTAGACAGTCTGGGAGCATGAAAATTGTTGTATCCACATGGTGTTAACACCACCTGGCCCTTTCATTGTTACTATGGAAGAAAGCATTAAAATCCAGCCCAGATTTGAACTATAAATTTAATATTGATTCTAGTTTTACACAATGATACAGGAAACTGACTGGGTTTTTAATGTAAAAATATTTTTGCAATATGTGTGCAGATAAAAACAAAGCATATACTTACTAGACTCTAGTGGAGGATGGGAACTCTCAGGAATCCTTGGAATGTCACTAAAAGAGAAATATACAAAAAAAAAAAAAGAAACAACTGAACTGCTGCTCCACAGTCCTAGACACACACAATTAACTACAAAATTTCTGGCACACCTTTTTCAGACATCTGTTAGTTTTTGTTTTAATGTGTTTGTCAATATGTGGTAAGGAAGGGGAATTATTTCAGGACAGCTTGCCACTGTTAACTAATGTGCATGAAAGCTTTAATCCCAAAGAAGACTTTTTTCAAACGATGAATAAAAACAAACCATGGTCACTATAATGCTAATATTGTAGTTGGAGGTTCCACAATATTTTTACAACCAAAACAGCAAAAGTGTTTTGGAAATGAGAAGTACTATGGCTACTGAAGCTCACTTCTTTTCTCGTCAAATCAAAACAACATAGATTGTAAAACTCACTAGTAATTTTTATACACACGTCTCAAGGAGTTCGCTGAATGAAACCGATGAAAATGTCTTATGACAATAAAGAGAAAAAGCAGATAACATGGGCAATGTTAAACAAAGAAAAGGATAATAATGTATTACTTCAGAGACTATAAATATTAGCATGCAACATATTGCAACTGAATATACACAGACATACAGCACATATACAGACCCACACAGAAAAACAGAGTGGATCAAATTTGGATCTCAGTTACATGAATGTAAATCCAGAGCAACCCCACCGACATCAGTGTTACAATGACTGTCAGAGTCTGGCTGTTATTAATATTTGGCCCTGTAGTACTATTTCCAACAATTTCCAAAATATATTCCAGGATTAAGAAAGGAAATAATTTTTTTCAATGAGTCACTTAAAAAAAAAGATTAACCACCCATAATATAATCCAAACTACAAACTGCAATACAATTTACAGCTAAAATTTACAAAAAGTGAAGTCTAAATTTAAGGCACTATCTCCTTATTTAGAGTCTTCAGGTGAAGTGCTGAAGCGGATGAGAGTTGCCAGATATGCAGCACTTTTGAAAATCAGGTAACTTGCTCTGGAATTTTTGTAGGAGCTTAAAGGAGTTGATAAACAAGTCTCACTGAATTTCAATAGGCGTTGGCCATCTAACTCCCTTAGGTTCCTTTGAAAATTCTAGCCCGAGTACCTAATAATTGATTCAGGAGCCTAACTTTAGGGTCTTATTTTTTAAAATCTTGGTCTATATGACAGACAAAAAACAAGCCCAAACTCCAAAGCTATCAGTGAGTATCTCAGTTCAGCTTAAATCTTATGTTATAGTGTATGGAAATGTTTTCCTGTGGCTTGGCTTTGCAGTTCAAGAACGATGTGGTCACCTCAAAACTGACGGAAATAAAGTCATGGAAACAGCATTTTCCATTCTTTAATGTATTCCTGTTTTGCTAAACTACACACACATACACGTCATTGAGGTGTTGTTAGACATTCTATAGTCAAGGCTGAGTCGATGTCTTCCATTTAAAGAAGTATTTAATTTTTTTTATTTAACCTGGAACTTAGCATATTTAACTACAAAACCTGCAGCATTTACTCAACAGATCCAAAGTGATTTTTATACAGGTAATATATTAACTTAATGTTTCTTTCCCATTCCAAACATTTAAAAATATTCCCAATTGAAATGTAGCTTTGTTTGTATTACAATAACACCTAGACACTTAAATAAGGACCCCATTGTACTAGGCTGAAAACATGGTCCGGTATGAAAACATGGTCCTTGCCCTGTATCTAAAATGACAAGTTATATTGGAGAGGGTAAGGAGCAAGTTATATTATCAAATATACACATTTCCCTTTTTTCCTTTACAGTCAAGTGATAACCATCACAAATTGGCTGATCTCTAATAGGCTTCTGAGCAAAGGTGAGACTCAAGGGAAGATTTAAAGGAGGGAAAAGTGCAATGTACAAATATGTTTGTGTCGGATATTACAAAAATGGGCGGTGAAGGCTGGAATCACCTGGAGCAGTAGAGGCAGGAGGAATTGGCAGGAGACACAAGCACTTACAAGTATTTTAGATAGATAGATAGATAGACTTCACTGATTCTTACAGCTTGATTCTTATTTACATTAAAGCCACTTTGCACTGTCAGAGTAGTTCAATGTCAGAGTGGTTGCACTATCTAAGTATAAAATGAGAATGAGAATCAGGCCCTTACGATTTACAAGAAGAAAATTGAATAAGACAGTGAAGGCGAGGGGAAGACACAAGCCAAGGATTAAAGAGCAGGGAGGAAGACTTAAAGGGGCTTATAGCAGATAACAGAGAACTGGTCTCTGGAGCCAGGCTATGGAAACCGGGGAGTGGGAGAATTAATCATACCTTCTTTGTTTAAAACTTTACATTCCAGGCAGAAAAAGTTTTAACTTTAAGCCCCCTTTGGGTCCACCCCCCCCCAAATAAACTTGGGCTGCTCTGGGGGCTGGGACATCCCTTGCATAATTTAGACAGTCTTCAGGGCTGCTGTGTCCCTGCTCCTGACATGCTGTTCCTGCTCCCAGCCTCATCCTGGCACCCTGCTCATGTCTGTGACATGCCCCTTACACCAGAGCTTGTAAGCAAGTCACAGAAAAGAGGCTAATGGCTGTACTCTGCAGTTCTTCTCCCATAGCTGGAACTAGAATGTTTAGAGTCCTTTTACACCACTCTGGCCCTTGTACTTGGTGAAAGAGGGCAAGAGTAGGGGTCAAGATTTCACCCCAGGAATCTAGGCGATGCATTTAAAGAGTACAAACTCTGCAAGGTTTAGCTGAGACTGAATGGGCAACAGTTCTCTGGCTAATAACACAAATGTGGCATGGCATCCTGTGTTTTTTTATAGCTTAAAGGCCATTTCTGCAGAGAAGTATGATTGACTGTTGTCACTGGACAACGTGGCCAGTGACAGACACCAGGTTATGCTGCTCTTACTGCAGGGATTTGAGAAACCAGCTCAGAAATCATCTTTACTTGGAATCCCTTCAAAACTCTGTACTGACACGACATGACATTTATTAATGACTAGCAGGAACGGCGCCAGGGTTTTTGGCGCCCTAGGCGGGGGTCCTTCCGCGCTCCTGGTTGGCGGCGGAAATTCTGCGGCGGGGGGGTCTTTCCACGCTCCAGGTCTTTGGGGCACTTCGGCGGCGGGTCCCGGAGCGAGTGAAGGACCCGCCGCAGAATTGCCGACGATGACCTGGAGCGCGGAAGGACCCCCCGCCGCCGAACTGCCGCCAAGGGCGGCAAAATGCCACCCCACCTCCCCCCAAAAAACCTGGCGCCCTACGCGACCGCCTACATTGCCTAAATGGAAGCACCGGCCCTGATAACTAGCATGCACTATAATATAGTCTGTGAATCAGATTGTGTGACTCTTAGCCATGGAAGACACCACTTATTTATAGAAGCGTAAATGATGTGCACATGAAAATGGATAATAATTTTACCTCTACTGGTCTTCAAGAAATAATAATATATGGTGTGCCATTAAGGATAAAATTACAATTTCAATGTCAACCCATATTTCATACGGTATATCTTTATTAATTATTATTATTATTACTTGTCCAGTGGCACCAGTCAGGATTGGGAATTTTTTTTTTGCTAGTTGCTTTACAAACATATAGAAAGACAGGATCCCTGTCCTGAAGACTTTACTATATAAGAAAGTAGATTAAATTGTGTATTAAACAAAGGAAGATCTCTATTAATAGCTGAAAAATAAGATTCACTTTCATGAGTTTGGAGTCACCACGTAATTCAGGTGGCAAAGCAAAAAAGAAGCTACAATCCAAAAGCAAACAACAATAATAATGTTCTTCCAATACTACAGTTTATTTCAAATATAACATTTCAGAATTAAGGAAAATAATTATTTTAAAGGTGCACTGTTTTTTTGTTAGCCTTTATCAAAATTTCTTCTGTTGTAGATTGTGTGTGATTGACCATTTAAAAAATGACAGACAGGTCAATCTCACTCTGTGTGAAATCAAAGGAAATTTATCTTTTGACTGCAATAATTGCATGATCAAGTCTTTAATGAAGCCTTTCATTTCAAGTTATATGCTCCAGTCCATTTGTGACATTTATTTGTTATTTCCAGTTATTAGTGCCAGTAGGAAACAGCTGTAAGTAGTGAAATGATTGATTGATTGAATGAATGAATGATTACAGCAGAGGGACATTTCTAGGTAGTGTGTCAAATCCTACTCTGATTTAATAATATAGTAATACTGAAGCCTCTCATATGAATACTCATATGATTATAGTGAGCAGGATTTGGTCTATAATATTTTTCCCTCTTACTGCAAGAAAATATCCATTGATCAAACCATATGTTGAAGCAAATAATCACATTTGGGTTTTTCTATTCACAAGTGCAATAAAAACTGTCAAATTCATCACTATAAGATCTAAAGAGGTACATTCCTGACATCAGTAAAAAAAATTTGCAGTGCACTTAGTATGATACATTCTAATTACTCAGCAATTGCATTTTATGTACAATTCTTCTTCAAGAAAGCTTTACAGAACATTTTCATGCTTTTGAAAGTTATTATAATTATCTCATTTATTCATCTACTCTACCGGTCAGTTATCTAACAAATTATTTACCATATGTAATGAAGTATTTAAAAATATGTCAGTGTTACTATCTCTAAAGCTGCACTATCTGCAAGTGCCAGTTTAACAATATTCTATTACTTGGCATCTTCTTTCTGTATTTCTGCCTCAATTGTTCAAGTCATTTAATTATTTTGCACATTCTCCTCCACCCAAAAACACACTGAGGTCCAATCTAGGCCCAATGAAATACATACCGGTTTTGCTACACAGTTAAGTGTGGGAAAGTTTGGACCTAAGACTATAAAAATCTCAATAAAGTTTGTTTGGTTTTGGTATTCTTACGATTTAGAGTCTGATTCTACAGTCTTCACCTGGGAAAATCTCCTTATTAAAGTACATGGGTGAGTTTGCCTGAATAAGGAATGCAGCTTTAGGTTTTTATATGTGCCGCAGTTATTATCGTAATGCTGATTTCAGTTTCTGAATAACAAATTCACAGTCACGCTTTCACTTTCCATTTAAAAGGCCACTCTCAAGATGGCAGTCCAAAAATTGTATCTTCTCTGACCTACTTTTTCTTGAAGTACCAATGTAGAGTAATTTTGTGTATGTATAGTGGGCTTCATTAAAAAAAAACCAACCCTTCAACATCTACCAAATGTAGCCATTCCACAGCATCACAGGTACATTAACACCTGGTAAATACTAAACAATCATTCTATGTTAACTAAACCAGCGGTTTATTGTCAAGCACAGGGAGGAGAACCTTCTAGTAAGAATAAGTGTTTCAAGCTTCTGAATCTAAAGATCATTATTGGATCTGAGACACATTTCAGATTAATTATGACATGGATGAAAATCAGAAATTTCAGATTGGGAAAAGAATGCACAATTTTGGAGAAAAAAGCAGCTGGGCCTCTAACTAGAAGATTACTGCTCCAGCATTAGTGTTGAGTTCCATACAGGACACATATCACTGACATTTGGGCAAGTGAAATTCAGATAGGAAACTAAAGAAACATTTTCAAATTTTACTAAATCATCCCAAAGAGATGGGATGATTTCTTAACAAGGAGATATGGACAAACATGGCGAAGGATGGCCAGAAGCTTGGAAGACGTGTTGTGATCGGCTCAGTCTTAACTGATGAAGGACCGACAGTCTACACAGTCTACTAAATTTTATCTGAAACTGAACTCTGACTGTTTGCTCACCTCTTGTTATTCCTGAGTAAAAAAATAGAGACAAACCTAAATCCCACCTGAGTGTGTATGTGGGGAGTCATCAAGATTGTACCTGGGTGGCTAGCCAGAGACACCGCCCAGGGTGCCATAGCCATAGTGTTATTTTTCATTGCACGTTCGAGCAGAGCTAGTGTGTGCATGTCTACCTGAGCTGGGAACTCCACCTCCAAGCCGCAGTGTAGACGTACCAAGTTTGATCACAGCTCTAGGACCAAACCCTATTAATCTTACTTAAGCAAATAGTTTCACTGATTCCTTGTGGGAATCTAGACAAACAGAATTTGGCCCCCAAATTATCATTATTTTGCAACTTCAAACTTGGATTTATATTAAATTCAGAATAATTTAATGTAAATTGTTATTATGAGAATGATTTTATAAACTAATGAACACCGATATTAAACAAACACCTTTTAATGACAGTATAATTTATAATTATAGTAAAAAAAATCCTGGAAATAACTTAGACAATAGAACTTTTAACTATAAATGGCACTCCTTGAATTCCTCATGAACTGATTTATTTCAAGTCATATGATGTTTAATGTTTACTTATGCCTGCTTCCAAGTCAGCTGTGTTCAAATAACTGATGTTACTGTGAATGAATCAAGTTTGAGAGCCTAATAAAGCAGGTCTTACTCAGGCTCAGCTCCCACCCATTTTAATGGGAATCCCACCTGCGTACATCCAGCAGAATCAGGACCCAAGTTTCTCCTTTCAACATCATGGAAAATCCTAAAGGGACAAGACCCCTTACAGATCAAGCGCCACCCAGATTGATCTCTGGCAAGGTCCTTAAGGTGGTCTATTCAGTTTATGTTCATTACTGGCAATATTTCCCCTTTGCCCTGTGACAAATATGCTCTTTACTACTTTGTCTAGAAAATTTCTCCGTAATAGTGATATTACTGCAGCTATAGAACAAAACTAAGTTTGTAACTGGCAGTGAAGAAAATGGAGTATAGATATTGTAAGTAAACGTTTCAAAAGGTAAATTGTCCTCCAACATTATAAGATAACTTTCAAACTGACTAGCATGTTAACATGTCATAGTATTTTACAGCACTACAAATATATGTAGATATGTATCCGTTTTTAAAAATCCTGCTAATACATGTAATTTACTAAACTTAAGAAGCAAGTTTTTTTAGCCTTACCCAATAGGCCTTGAAACAATAATTTCAACTTGAGGTTCTGATTTTGATTCTAAAATAATGTTGTAAACTTCTTCATTTGTAGCTCCAGGCAGGGGTTTACCATTCCATTCTAGAACTTCATCCCCTTGAATTTAAAAAGAAAGATATTTTAAATCTTATTTTCCATATTTCTTTTCACAAAAACAGCAAAACATATTTAAAGTCAATGTATCTCTAAGCTACATTCCCTAAGATCAAAAATACTATTGTGGAGATATATTAGAAAGAGTTTTTAAGACACTCTCAATACTTGTTTCCAAAACACTGCTATCACCTGCAAACAGTACTGTGTTTTCAATATTTCTTAAATAATATGGCAACCAGTATTGTACCATGAAATGAAAGCAGCGTGCTACCTTTTGAGAGTCACTTTATTAACGAGAGCTGGTACCCTGTGTATAATAAAGATAGGTTGATCTCCAAAAGTGAAATTTCTGATTACCTAAGAGTTAAAAACTTACAAATCATGAGATTTTTCATTGACAGTTATATAATATGTATTTAATATGACTTTGGTACCCAAAGGGTAGTCTTCATAGCCTGTACCAAATGAAAAAAAAGATTAAAAAGTGATGGATGAGTTAGTGTCTCCTGGAAAGATAAAAGAAACAAGCTGATGTGAAATTGTTGGATGAGAGTTACTCTCTCTTTTAAGGTGTTCAGAGCTAGAATCCAAACATATACTTACAATGTATCTTAGGGTACGTCTTCACTACCTGCCGTATCGGCGGGTAGCAATCGATTTATCCGGGATCGATATATCGTGTCTAGTTAAGACGCGATATATCGATCCCCGAACGTGCTCACCGTCGACTCCGGAACTCCACCAGAGTGAGCGGCGGTAGTGCAGTTGATGGGGGAGCCGCGGCCATTGATCCCACGCCATCTGGACCCCAGGTAATTCGATCCAAGATACTTGGACTTCAGCTACGCTATTCGCATAGCTGAAGTTGCGTATCTTGGATCGATCCCCCCCCCAGTGTAGACCAGCCCTTTATATTTGTCAGTGTTACATCAAGAGGGAAACCTTACAAAATGTTTTCTAAAATAAGGTCAAATTAATTCTTGGGAAAACAATTAAATAAGTTCCCAGTTACTACCAGGGCCAATCAAAGGGAGTAATCAAAAGCACTGCAACGCACACTGCATTTTGTTTTATTACTATTTTATTTAGTGATGACGACTTGGTATTTCTCAGGTTCAGTCCTGTACCAGTGACTCAGGTATGGTGTTGGGCTTTAACAGTGTTGCTGGAGTTTCTTTGGATAAGATCTAAAGCAAGGCCTGAAAAACTGAGTTTGTTAAAAATCTAAAGGAATTCTTCATAAGATTAAAGTCCATCCTAGTCAAACTTTTTATAATTACATTATAATTACATTCTGCCTTCCACAATTCTATGTTCTGTTCAACAATTGCTATTCTTTCACCTCCGAAGAATCTGTAATTCAGGAGTAGACATAAAGATCCCTGTACAGAGTTTGTATATGGTTGTAAAGCACTTTGGGATCCTTTAGGATGTGAGATGTTATAGTACATTAATGTAGGAGTATTATCATTCAGTGTTGCTGAAGTTAGTTTTCCTCCTTGAAGTGGCGGGAAATAAACAGGGTTATTTAGCTAAAACTAACTAGCAGCCTATTTAGTACAGCCAACCTTAATTTTGGCATTTCCTAACTTTTGAATGTTTGACTTTACAACCTTAATAATGTTGTTTTAATATAGATTTTGTATGCATAATTTCCTAAATTTTTTTTTTTAAAAAAAGCAAACTGGAAAAAAATTATCATGTGGCATCATATTGACATTTGTATGTTTAGTAGCATGGTTGGACCCTTTAGATCAGTGGTTCTCAACTGATTACATATAGTGGGCCGCATATGCAGCCCACAATGTATTACCTGGGCCACAGGGGCTGGGTGGCAGGGCAGCGGCAGCCCTGACCCTCGCTATGTGGGGCAGACAGCTGCCCACTCTGGACACCGGGGCCAGAAGGCTACTCTGAACACTGGTCCCCGACATGCAGCTGCCCTGACCCCAGACCCAGTGGGGCCAGGTGGCTGCCCTGGACCCCCGTCACGCGGCTGCCCAGCAGCCCCGACCCCCTCTACATAGGGTGGGCCGGCTGCCTCAGACCTGGAGCTTGTGGGGCCTGGGAGCAGCCCTGACCCCCAATAGGCAGGGTGGGCCGGCAGCCCCGCAGCTTGTGGGGCTGTACAGCTGCACCAGATCCCAGAGCTCACAGGGCAGGCCAGGAACCCCGGATTCCAAACCCTGTGGGGCTCGCTGGCAGCCCTGACCCCTCTGTGCCAGGCGGCACAGCAGCTGGGTGCGGGGCAGGCTGGCTGCCCCAGACTCCGACCCCGCAGGGCTGGCTGGGAGCCCCGGACCCCCAACCCTGTGGGGCCACTGGCAACCCCTGACCCCGTGGCAGACTGGCAGATCCCACCCCAAACTCCCACCACACAGGGCATGCCGGCAGCTCTGACCCCACTGCACCGGGCAGCGGGACAGCCCAGCCGGACCCCTCGGTGCTGGGCAGTGGGGCAGCTTGGATACCCCTGCGCTGGGCAGCTGGGAATCCAGGATCTCAGGCACGGACTTTCAGCTCTGTGCTAATTGGGCCACATGTGGCCCGCGGGCTGAGAACCGCTGCATTAGATCCACTGCACAGACCTCTGTCCATTAAGCTAATGGAGTAACTGATAACAGTAATAGGTTGTCGTCCTCAATGTGGACCAGGACTAATGAGAGATGTGACACACTGTCATTGGTTTTCACAGATATTTGCTGACAAAAAAGGAGTAGTGAGATTCAAGAATTTTTGGCTTTGGAGGGCATAGACTTTCCTGCCAATTCCCACCAAGCTTGACTCCTTCTGCCCTGTCCCCTTCCAACCTGTCCCTCTCCCAATCTCATTTTCCTCACCTAGTCAGTCCCTGTCTTATGCTTCTCATCCCAGTCCCTTTACCTAGCAAGTCCTAGTCTCACTCTTCCTGACTCTCCGCTTATAGTCACAGTCTCCTTGACAGTTCCCAACTGCCTGCAGATACTTCTCACCAGGTTCCTTACCCAGCCAGTCCTCTGTTCACCCCTCCTGGCACCTCATTCAATCTGTCTCACGCCCAACTAGGCCTCTAATCCCCTCCCATCTGTCCCCACTATCTCCCAGGCTCTCTCCTCATCCAATTTCAGTGTCTGCCTATTCCCTTCCAGCTGCTTGTCCCAGTCTCTTTGCCTAGACACTCCCAGTTCTTCCCCAGCATTCTGGCTCCTTATCAGTTCTTTCTCCTCTCTCCCTCATACCATCATCTCAGTCTCTTTACCCAGTCAGTCCAGCTCCCAGTCTCAAGTATTGCCTTTGCTCCCAGTCCCAGTTTCATTGCCAGCCAGTCCCAGTCACCACTTTCCCCCTTAATTTCCAATCCCAGTTTCCTTCTTACCTTTTGCCAGCTGCCAATCTCAGAATTAAAGCTAGGTGCAGTTCATTTTCAAGGCATTGCACTTTTTACTGTTTTTGTTCAATTGTTTTTGTTCGGAGTATTACTTACAAACAATTTTCATGATAAAATGATTTTGAGAAAATCTTTTCACTTTTTTCCTAAAACCATTCACTCTTTATTTTATTAATATTACTGGCAAAACTCAATGTTGATCCTTCAGCAGCTAACAATTACTGTATAGAATTTGCACATATATCTAAGCAAAATGTAATTATGTAGTGATACAGTAGTCATGTTATTAAAACTGCCCACATTAAAATGAAAAACATTTTTCATTATTTACAATATTTTATACGAAAATTATCCACATAACACATAACATTAACAATTTCATTTTAGAAAGTCACAACAATAACATAAATATGGCAGAGAATAGTTGATTTTATTACCTGCTCTTAGATGTCCCACCACATCAGCTAGACTACCCTTCTTTACTTTGGTAATGAAGGCACCAAGTCGTCCTAAATCTGTCATTTTTCCTCCAACAACCTGGATAATCATAAATTTATGAGTTTTCAAACCACAAACTGGGCAACATATTAAGGAATATAATGTAAATAGTTTAGCTTGTATGGTTTATTTAATCACATTAACATTATATTTAAAACTAGGGCCTCAGTCATTCATAATTAACTGTGTTGTTATTATCAATGGTATTTGTATATGGACTTCACGCTAAGATGAGTGTCGTATAAAAAAGCCAGAATTGTGCCACATAGAGAGTGAAGAGAGCTTGAAAATCCCTTACTTGCCTTTGTAAAACACTAGTTTAATTAGTCTAATTCAGAGTGTATAGCATAGCATAGCATTTCAAATATCAGAAATGATCAGTTGTGGGGTTTTTGAGACAATAATCAAGAAAACATGTTTTGTTCAAATCTATGGTTAACTGTTTGGGATGTGCAGAAACAGCAGATTGTAAGCATGGAAATTCCTTACACAGCAGTCAGTACAAAAATGCTAAAAAACCAATAATGTAAAAGTTGAAACTCTCAACTAAAAATGTATTGTGTGCAGTATTAGGGAATACATGAGAACAGCATATCTAAATACAACACATGGAACAATATCATTACCAGCTAACATCAGACACTAACATCTTCATCAGAATACAGTAAAGATTCAGTGAAAGAGTAAGGCAGGCAGAGGCACCAGACTTCTCCCATCCTTTGTCTAACAGAGATGAGTGTGTCCTCCAAATAAGGATGCACAGGACATTGATGGGGAAAGTGACAAGAGTCTCTTTAAAGGGACTCAGGCAAGGAAGAGTGCTAAAACCTCTTTCCTCTCAGCATACAGAAATTACTGATTGTCTTATTAATGACACTCCAGTTAATAAATAATATTAATACAAAAATCAAAGACATGTTGATATTTTTACAGTATGTGACTATGTGTAGCAATAAAACAGATTTTGCTTTTGTCTATAGTGGTTACTGTCAATTCAGACATATTACCCAGGGCTGAGAGTCTCTATTTGGAATTTTAAAAATTCTGTCAAAATACAAAAAAAATTTAATGATACAAGTTACACCACTTGCTCACAGTAAAAAAAAAATCTACACAAAGTACAGGCCTAAAGATTTTTTTAAAGCAATACAAACCCAATATTTTGATCATGCTGGTTTTACATGTCCTTCCTGAATGGCTGAGTTGTCCTAATGAATCTGTCCAGCCAGTGGTCTTCTCAGAAATATTTTGCATAGAATTTTATAATGAAATGCACTATAATGTTCATTACCCACCAGTGTAGCAGCCATTGATAAAGTTTTATTTATTCACGTTGCCACAGTGGTGGCTGATCTTAGTTTTAGTCCACTGACTTATACAATTGAATCTCAGGCAGTCTCCACTAGCTTTAAGGATGCAACAGGACACCCTGCTAAGCCCACCGGTGAGTCAATGATATGTAGTACGGCATATAACAAATCAAGGTAAGACACAAGAAAGGAAGAGTAGAGGTTCCCTAAAAGTGATTTCCTGTTTTGGGGCCTGAATCTTTAGTATTTTTCCTCCAGTTTAAAAAACAAACAAAAAAACAACAACCTTGTTTCCCGTCAGTAAAGATCAGCTTTAGATTTTGTTACTCTAGTCTAAAATAATGTCTTAATTTTGGGGCCCAGGATGAAACTGGCAAAAAGTCAAAACTCACCAGTTTTGCTACAGATGCAAAAATATTAAGAGAATTATATTAAATAGCAGCACTGCTAGGTTTTGAAGAGCAGTTATTTATTTAAGATGACCTATCCAAGACTTGCATCTGAAGAAGTGAGGTTCTTACCCACGAAAGCTTATGCTCCCAGTACTTCTGTTAGTCTCAAAGGTGCCACAAGACCCTCTGTTGCTTTATCCAAAACTATGCACATGCACTGTTATACACTGTGTGCAACTTGTGTTTCTTCCTGGCAGTGCAGATTTTAAACACTGATTTTGTGAATATTAGTGTCTAGATGACACTCATGAATGTGGAACGTGAGATGAAGATTACACGATTGAAATGCATGTAGTAAAATCGGTAAATCCATGAATGCATTAGGATGTACTGTGTATGCTTGGAGAACAGGCAGATGAATAGACTGTGTTCTACCTCATGGCCTTCTAATCAAAACAGTTTTGTTCTTTTGCCAGGGGTAAACAGGCCAATGTAAAAAAGGGATTAAAGAAGGTTTCCGCTGATAATATTTCACTTTAATTTTTCAAGGCTTAACAAAGTCCGCCTGAGTTAGGGTGCATTTCCACTTCATCTTGCACAATTTTGGTTTAAAAAACAAAACAAAAAACACTTGAGGCTAAATCTTGAGCTTTGTTGAACACCTGCAACCTCAGGGTACTTGATGGTCCTAAGTATTTTTGAGGAGCCACTCAGTATCTGGTAGGGTCAGGATCTAAATTATAGAATTTCATACCATGTTTTATCTATCTATCTATCTATCTATCTATCTATCTATCTATCTATCTATCTATCTATCTATCTATCTATCTATTATGTGTGTGTGTTTCTTCTGTGTTTTATTTTTGTGTGTTTTACAGAGAGACAGAGAAGGTGTTCTTTATCTGGGTAATATATATATACTGCAGTCATTATTCATGACAGATTAAATGGACACAATCAGTTGCAGCTACTGTATATTACATGGTAAAAGGCTGCACCGTCAATGGGGTCCTAGTACACATAAGGGAGTGGAGGGCAATATTTGATATATTTGCATCAATTCAGGATGCTGTCCAATACACAGGGGGAAAAGGTATGTTCCACTCTTTTTTAACATAACTATGTAAAATTGTTCTCAAATGGCAGTATAATTGGAGATTTTCTGGATATCTATGATATGTTATAGTGTACTAAACTGTTGTCTATTAGGCTAATGGAAGTTTCATTCATTTACAGCATAACCTTTGTAATACTTACTTTTAGCCCCAGTAATGCACCTGACTCTTTTGGCATGGTAGTTCTCTTGTTAAGAATAACACGTCCAATTAAGCGATCTCCCTCTTTAGATGGTTGCCACGTTACAGGATGCTATTAGAAAATATCAGTGGAAGCAAAAAAGTGGAAGCAAAAAAGTGGAAATTTCTTCCTGTTTTACACACACAAGTAGAATCAGCTAAATTGTTATGTCACAGTAGAGATAAATCCAATTAATCTTTGACTGAATAATATCTGACAAAATTCTCTCTGTTATAATACTATAGTTAGGGCCCTACCAAATTCATGAAAAACGCATCACGGACTGTGAAATCTGGTCTCCCCCCATGAAATATGATCTTTTGTGTGCTTTTACCCTATACTACACAGATTTCACAGGGGGAGACCAGCGTTTCTCAAACTGGACATCCTGACCTAAAAGGGAGTTGCAGGGGGGTCACAAGGTTATTTTAGGAGGGGGTTATGGTATTGCCACCCTTATTTCTGCACTCCCTTCAGAGCTGGATGGCTGGAGAGCGGCGGCTGTTGGCTGGGCGCCCAGCTCTGAAGGCAGTGCCCCCCCAGCAGTAGTGCATAAATAAGGGTGGCAATACCACACCATGCCACCCTTACTTCTGCTCTGCTGCCTTCAGAGCTGGGCAGCTGGATAGTGGCGGCTGCTGAGTGAGGGGCTTATTTATGCACTGCTGCTGACTGGGTGCTGTCTTCAGAGCTGGGCTCCCAGCCTGAAGCCGCTGATCTCCAGCTGCCCAGCTCTGAAGGCAGTGTTGCCGACAGCAGCAGTGCAGAAGTAAGGGTAGTAGTACCAACAGTCCCCCTCCAATGAGCTTGCGACCTTCCTCCCTCCTCCCCCGCCCCCCAACAACTCCTTTTTGGGTCAGGACCCCTACAATTACAACATTGTGAAATTTCAGATTTAAATAGCTGAAATCATGAAATTTACTATTTTTAAAATCCTATGACCATGAAATTGACCAAAATGGACCGTGAATTTGGTAGGGCCCTAACTATAGTTCTTGACTCCTGCTTCATTAAATATTTACAATTTCCCTTCCTCATTGTAAAATTATCTCAACACCCAAAATGTGCAAGTGCAGTTATAGAACGGATTTGAAGCTTAATGCATTTAAGATGTATTTCAGCTTGTAAAAATAAATGCATTACTTTGTATTCCATTATCTTGAAAATTCCTTTTAAAAAATAACAGTCCTGTAGAATAATATTTATGTTATCCAGCTATTTCATATATGTTCATTATATAGTAAAAGTCTGATGATCCTTTTCCCATTGGAGTCAAGGACAAAAATTCTGCTGACATCATTGGTGTCTAACTGATAGCCTAATGGATTGAAATACAATCACTCATTTGAAAAAAATCTCTATTTCAGATTAAATACTCAAGTTATTTTTCTAATATAGATTCAGATAGAAAATCTCATGCTTATTTTGATTTTCATGATCTAGAAACATTTTTTTCACATTTTTAGAACAAAGTTCTAGTATCAGTGAGCATCTTACAAGACTGAAATTCATAATTTCATAGATTCTAAGACTGGAAGGCACCACTGTGATGCAAATGAAATAATTAACAAACCTCTTAACAATTTATTTCATACCTATAAACCTACATTGCCTATATCTTACCGAACTAATAGGGGATGTCTCTCTACTGTGCCACGTGGTAGGATCCAGCCAGTAATAATCCAAGTCACCTGGAAGAATATGAATGGAAAGAAATGTATAATCTCCTACAGAGAAAAATGTGTGTGAATGAATCACCTGCATGCATGAATTTTAATGTACAATAATTCTATGAAGCAAATGCATAAATTATACCATGATTTGAATGATCTTAAATGATTTAATTTAGGGACAACAATATATACTAACACTTCAAAAATAAAAATGTGTCACAGTACAAAGACCTTCAATTTCTCAATAGTTCACTGAATATCTGCTGCGTGCCCCAACTTGACTTTCTGTGCTGCTGAAACCCACCTTCCAGTGATAAATGCCCCCTTTCATACCTCTCATCCTTACTGTGATGAACACATAGTGCCAGTCCTTTAGAGAGCTAATTATGATTCTAGAGGAAGCTGCCACTAAAAAGAGACATTTGGTTACAGCTGACCCAGAGGATGGGCCAACAGCAAACCACAAGAAGAAACTATGAAGTGGTGCCTGCGCACAATGATGATGAGTACTCTAGAGATGAACAGTTCAGGAAACACACAGAGGGAGCCAGCCATAAAGGATTGCAACACAGGCTACCAAACAAAGTACCAGTACGGGCACAGGAAATAATGCCAACAGATTTAATTCAAGGTTGTGGTTTTTATTTTTGTTCAGGACAGACAGAGGTAACATGCATTATGTGTAGAGAGAAGAGACTACTGATAATGCATGCTGGGGCAATCATGAATCAATTGGATGTTGTAGGGGAATCTCAGAGGATGTGTTCGGGAGGACTTGGGAGCAAGTGCAAGTGGAATCACAGAACCAGTGAGGTGAGGGACTTTGAGTGAGGAGTGAGTGCTGCATGCACTGGGGATGAAGTGATAAAGGATGTCTACGCTCACAGGGGGCTGTGTAATGGGGAGGGCTGGAGAACAAATGACTTGGCAGTGTATTTTGACCTACCAAATATGGAATGTAACTTTACGAGGAGAGGGATGGCTGCAAAGGGTGTTGGGAAGGACTTGGGAGAATGAGACAGGATGGAATGGAACAAGTGGGAAGAGAGAGCCTGATGCAATGAGAACAGAGCCTGGTATGTTGTTTTTTTGTTTTTTTCAACTTTTATTTATTTATTTGCAAAAGATCATTTCCCTTTTTTAAAACACAATATTTATATGCCCCATGTACTCTATTACCTTTCATATCTTTGCATTAATATTACCCTTTGTGACAATATAGAGTATTATCAAAAGCAATAGTTGAAGATGAAAAGGGCAAATTATTCTAAACCCTTTTTGAGATGCTAGTTGTATTTATATACCTGATCTTGGCCCCAAAGTGGACAATTTTTTAAGTTTAAATAAAACTGGTGATGTAAAGGAACAAATTAAAACTAGACATTTTGATCATTTACCGTGCAAATCGCTAAAAGAAAACTGAACTATGTAGGCTAAATTCAGCCCTGGAAGTAATTGGAGTTGTCCCACCAAACAATTCATCTTTTACCAAGGGCTTAATTTGGACCTTTACTTTCATATTTGGCACGTGGTCTCCCCTCAATTTGGTGGTGATTCTTAGCTATGTTTGGAAAAAACAACTCATTAAAGAAAGTTTAACATTGCCTGCCTTCAAACATATATGTACATTATTTTCCTTATGTTTTTAAATGATGACAATTCATGCCCCACAGTCTGTACTGGCAGAGGGTATATTGTGGAGAAAATCTGCACATACTTGTCTCGTGATATGCTTAGGCATGCTTTGGTGATTATTAAAAACCCTGTGGTGAAATCCTGGCCTCACTCAAGTCAATGGCAAAACTCCCATTGACTTCAATGGGTCAGGATTTCACTTCTAATATGTATTTTACTTCAGAAAATCCCAATTTACTTTTTAGACACACTTTAGACAAGGTGCCTGGGTGCTTTTATTAACTTTTAGCAAGTATAACTATATAAGTGAAGAACACTTTTAGATCATTACTGTTACAGATACATAGAAATAAACATCCAAACAAAATGGGATATCAGTGACTAAAACCAAGCCAAAAACTAAATATAATGTTAACAACAGTAACTTTTCTTACCAACAACAACAAAAAGAACCTTTATATTTTTATCTTCACATCTCAGTGTGGTTTGTGTCATGTTTTATATACTGCATATGCCTATCATTAGGAGTTGGGATTTATCAAACAATGTGTTCATTCAAATTGCTTTAACTGAAGGAGCGATAAACCAGCCCAATACCAAGGGGTTACAAATCCCTACCATGAAATTATTTCATAACTAGTTAATACAATCTCAAATTTGTGTCTGAGTGTCTTTTTTAGTGTACATAACAAATGTTAAAAACTTCGTATAATGTAATAAATTTCTAACAAGTGTTGGCCATAGTATCAGACTATTGGAAAACTGAACCTGCTGGACCACAAATTCCAATTCCTTCCTCACTGCAAATGATAGGGGTCCCCATGTCAGTACAGTGTGTTTTATATATAGTTGGATTTCCAGTAAATTCCACACCTCAGAGTCTTCAAATGTCTATATACTGTATTTTTCCTGTTTGTCTATGTCTATGGATTTCATTCTCTTACAGGTGTTTAGATGCCAATTATGTGGACTAAAGGAGGCAAAGGTCCTATGGAAAAAATTGGATGTGATCATGTAATATGCACAAAGGGGCTGAATGGAGGTTGTACCCCACCCTCCACTGCTATCCCCCTTGGTTCCTGCCTGCGCCCACACTACTGTCCCTGTCCCTCTGCTCTTATCCTCCCTGCCCTTTCCCTCCCATTCCCAAGCTTCTGCTCATGTCTTCCTTCCTCTCCCTGATCTCCTTTTCCTCCTGCCCAGACCATGACCTGGCCTCATCTGCTCCTTCCCTCTCTCCTGTTCACCTCCCTGTGCTCTTGTCCCTCTCCTGTAATGTTGTTTCTGTCTCTCCACCCCAGTTTTCTGCCCCCTTTCCTCCTGACCTTGCTCCTCCCTCTTGTCCTGCTCTTAATCCCCCTAGGCATCAAATCCCTTCCCTTCCTGCTCCCCCAAACTCCTGCCTTTGTCCCCACCCCTCTCCTGTTTCTCACCTTCTAATTTCAGTCAGGCTGCCTCCTCCTCCTCTACCCTGCACGGGCATGAACATGGAGAGCACTGCTTGGGCACCAGCAGGGGGATCCTTTTCCCATGTTCAAAGTTCTGGTGCTCGCTGCCACAGCAGCTTCTTGCAGCTAGGAAGAGGAACAATTGCACGGAAAGTCCTGCTTAGTCCCTGCAGCTTGGCACAGAGCATGCCCAGAACAGATGGAAACTTTGGAGAATTTAGCTACAGAATTCAAACAAGTCTCAACTGAGCATGCGCAAACTCCAATTTTTTTTAGAGCTTATAACTTAGCCAAATTCTAGCAAGTTTTCACAGGGCAGATAAAAGGTCTGACATCAGAGTCACCTCCTGCCAAATGTTAAGCCACTGGCCCGTAAAGCATGGAGGTGCTAAAGCTTCTCAACAAAACCATTGGAATATTTTTTTAATATGGGCAAAGCAATATATTTTTACCAAACGCCATTCCTGAAAATACCTGAACTATTTTAATTAAAAATCCTGCTCTCTCCCCGCCAACCAAAAAAAAAAATCAGCCTGAGTCAGACACCTGGAATGGAAAATTTCAGTGAACAGCTTATATTTTGGAAAATTATAAGCCACTGAAAACATCTTATAAAGTGTTCAGAAACCTAAACTACAACCTGGCGCCTATGCCATCTATAAGAATAGAGCAGAATAGAATACAAGTAATATTATGATTATAATTATATAATTATGCCTAATTATAAATAATACCAGCAACAGGACTTCCACCACATCCTATAATTTCTTACTTGATCATTTCCTTTCTCTTAGCAGCATCTCCCACAATTTTGATACATATGGGCTATTTAGGATGACCAGACAGATAGAGTGAAAAATTGGGACAGAGGGTGGAGGGTAATAGAAGCCTATACAAGAAAAAGACCCAAAAATCGGGACTGTCCCTATAAAATCGGGACATCTGGTCACCCTATAGCTATTATCATCCTCTGCAATTTCCAGAGGCAGTTCAAAGGCTGTAGCTCAGCCTGTGTTAACCGTGCCCTTTTCTCTGGCCTGCTGACAGATGATTCATTCCATAGTTGTTTAAAAACTCATAGAATATGATTAGTAAGAATAACTTAAATGCCAACCAATAAACTATGTACTGTTGGCTACTAGCCTACTAGCACAACTATCAAAATTAAACACTGTCCCCTGCTTAGGAAGAGAACCAGAGAGAATAGAATTGTGGGAGACACTGTAAACAGAAAGGAAATTATTGGATAAGGAATTTACCATTCTGCAGCTCAGTGTCTCCCACAAATCTGATACATATGGGAAGTAGCAACCAGTGAACAGCAGTAGGTAGGGAGAATTAAACACAGAATGAAATAGGGAAGACCTCGCTAAGTTAATTGCCCAAAATTGTAAAGCTACTACTGGACCACTGCCTGAAGGAGACCTCTGCAGAGGACAGAACGTCCATGTTACAGTGCCTAATAAAGGTGTTAACTAATGACCACCTTGCTGCCCTGCAGATCTCTGCAGTGGAAGCACAAGCTCCTTCTGTCCACAAAGTCAACATAAATATTGCAGTGTGCGCTTTGGTGCCATCTGGACAGGAGTAACTGATGCCTCATATGTTTCTAAGATACACAGCTTGATCCATGTAGCTAGTATAGCCTGGATATCCTGAGCTCTAGGCACTTCAGATAAAAGTAGACTAACAAGGACCCTGATCTTGTTGATTTGGTGTGCTTGCTATAGATCATTAGCGCTCTTCAAACATCTAAAGTGTGCCACAGCTTTACTGCTAAATGTGGCAGGTTTGGACATAATGAAGGGAGGCATGGAAAGATGAATTAACCCTAAGAAAGAAAAATTCTGGAATTCTTAGCATCATCTTGTCATTATGGAACACACCATGAGGTTTCTGCATAGGTACAGTTGCCAGTTCAGAAACTTGTCTAGC